AAGATTATTCATTCGAGCACCTATGCAAGATTATCTATTACTGACTCTTGATACATTTCATCTTCTAGTTCTAAAGAGACACTACAACAGTCAAGAATAGACAACAAATGCACCAACAGCCATGTGGATCTGTGATTCCTATAAAACTTAGAAAGGGAAGATGTACTCAGATTGAAGGATGATGTTGTCTGTATAATATTCTCATATAAACACATACATAAATCTTATCATTTCTATATGTTCATGTCTTTGAGCATGAGCCCATTGAAGAAACCTCTCCCTACTCCAAATTTAAAACTTTTAGGATGGTCTTGTTTAAAATCGGATTGTCCAGATTTTTCTCCCGGACAATCAGTAATGTCCTAATATAACTGCTCATATAACATCATATATCGTAGGGGTCCCAGGTCCCTCGATTCATCGATATATCGATGCATTGTGTGTTTTTTTTACGATACAAGCATAAAGATACAAAGACTCAAATAAGCCCTTTGAGAGCCCTGTATTATATAGAATTCTACTAAATAACTCACTAACAGTAAGATGGATTTTGTACCACTTGATTGTGCATATTAAAATATAAAAACGAGAATGATTGGCAACATTTAATAACAATAGTTGAATATCTAGCACTTGCTTTGTGTCTATAAGACATGTATTATTACTTCTATTCAGACACTGTAAATGACCTCTTAATTTGAACATGTAGAAAGTACTAAGATGATGGATGTTCTTAGATTGCACTAAATCATTGATGCATTTCTATTAGAAAAATCAAAAGAAGTAGTCCCATAAATGTCAAAAATGCACTGGATATAAATTTCAAAATCTCAACCTCCTCCTCCATACTATCTCAGGACCATACCGTCATCAAATGTCCAAGTAAGATCCCTGTATTTTCGATAAATGTATATACAGAGTGTCAAAAATGCCACCCCCTCCAACAAAAAGTACTAATGTTACAAGGTGTGCTATATTTCATTTTATTCTGGAGTTACTTGAGATATTTCAGCTGTATATCATATAATTTTACAGATGAGTGTTAGTTGTTGGTATGGCCACCACTTGCTGCTCAAACAGCAACTTATATTATCTGGATAGGTATGATTTCAATAAAGATTCAAATGAAGGTGTAGCATTGAGTAATCCTCCAAGCACTTTCCTCACATTATTCAGCAATACATCCTTACTGTATCTGTTTTACTTCCTTATCTGTATCTGAGGCCCCCTGTCCATCAATTCCCTAACCCTTTCACTATTGAACCCATATGTTTAGCAAAGTTGAGATATGGGCAACAGTGTTCGCGGTATAGCCATTTAAATTTCTGAGTCCCAGGGACACAACCCATTTGAAAAATGTGAGTCCTGTCTAATTTTTTTTTTCATAAAGTTCAAGAAAAATATTGTGAACGTGAAAATAAAGTGGGCGATAATAGAGTGCTTACACTAAAACAGGATAAAAATGACATACATTGTAATTCGATGCATCCTCCTGATAAATATCTATCATTGGGTCCTTTTCACACAATTCTGAAGTAATGTTATACCAAAATAGTCCGAAATGAATGAAGGAAATGCTCAAATTAAAGAGTTTTGTTTTCACGTTTTACCAACTTGCGATCTTCAAGGTCATGTCAAGGTTGTGAACTTTTGCTTCTTTTTATTAGCATTTCTCCTTCTTACTCTGATATCTCAGTTATCTTGATGTATAACATTAGATAGATATATAATGGTTTCTAGTGGAGATAATAAAGATTTTTTTATATTTAAAATGAACGACAAAATATATACATAATATTTACAGTGTACAATACATAATCAATTGGATGAGCACTTAACTATTTTTCGACATGTTCAAAAATCAATCAGAATTCAAAATACTGTTGGCTAAAAAATATATGCTGTTCTTATTCTGTTTACCACTGACTATACAACTTTTAAATTGGATAATCTTCATAGATGAAGTCTTGGATAATCCAGGGCTACCAATATAATATTTTTCATTACATGTAATACCTGGGAAATGCTTATCCCATAAATATTTAACTAATCATGAAAAACAAGTCTTTCAATTCGTGGGGCACCACTGGGCATTTCTGCAATAGTGTATGTTTTGATCTTCCATTTCGGTTTCGGCATTTTCCGGAATACGTCGGAACCAATCAAAATCCATGTTTCAGACTGGAAACCCTGTGAATCTTCTAAGTAGATCTTTGTTTAAATAAAAATTAATTTGCATCTACTTTTGAAAGAAAACCCCTTTTTATTCAGTCCAACCAGACTTTATTCTTCAGTATATCCCTTGATTCCAAAAGTTGCTTCAAGTTACATAATTAGTAAGTAGACAAGTAATCAGTGCTAGGAGAAAATGGTATAAATTTGGCATGGCCAGTGACAAATTGAAGTGAAAGGTGATGTTGAGGTTGGGACAAGTGTGGGAAGACCAGATGTGACTTCTAACAGCTTGCCTCTCAATCAAAGCTAGCTGTCTAACTGTCTAATACATTCATATGAACTCTACATACAAGGAGATTTAATTTACTGGCACACATATATAAAATGTCCCATTGTCTCCTGAAGGAGAGATGTTGATCAAAATCTACAGATATGGCCTTTGTCTCATTTTGTTTTATGCTCTGAACAATTTGTTCATAATCGCATAATAGAGCAGTTTCTTTATAGCTTTGAAATTTCATGTGATTTTAAGAGGTTTGCGAATTAAACCTGGAGTGATTTACTTTTGCTTCTTTTTGTTAGGATATTTGATTTCAGTGAAACGTTTTCTACACCAATAACTTTGATTTTTACAGTAATGCTATTTTCCATAACTTTTTAAAAAACTTGAGAAAAGTGAGTAAAAAAGTGAGAACCAAATCTCAATGATAAAATTCTTTAATACCTTTGTTTATTCGTTCAACAACCAATATTTTCATAACAGGGTCATCAACTTTTAGACAGATTCAACCAACACATTTTGATAACTCGTGAAATAAAGTTTGTATTCGCGAATGCAACTAACGCCTGTCAGCTACCGGATTAACCTACTATTTTACTGGAAAGTCATTTAGATATGAACAGTACCTGCCACTATTCATTCATATTTAAATGATTTGGTCATAGAATAGTAGGTTAATCCGGTAGCTGTCAGGTGTTAGTTGCATTCGCGAATGGTAAGTGACGATATAGCAAGTTTTTACCATTGAAGCCTATGGCAGTCTGGCCCAACCAGAACAAATAAAAACAAGTGCTGAGATCTGTTTATGCAACTTTCTTCAGCTCTATTGCTAAAATATCTTGGTAAGATGGATGATGGTTCAACTTTGTTTGTGAATTCTGTTGCCCAGGGCTTTTTAGACTAGAACCATGTTCATACTAACATATCATTTTAAAGGTAATTACCCTTTTTCTAAAATGTAAATGATAAATTGTTTGTATGTTAATATATGTTTACAGTATTACTGTTATGCAACATGATAGGTAAAGTAAAGATGTACACCAGTTACATGATGTTTATGTTTTGAATGAGGTCATGAACCTTAGTGACCATAAATAAAGTATTAAATCTTGGTAGATATATTTTGAAATGTAAAATGTCAAATTTAAAAACTTGCATATAAAGAAAGTATAGAAAAGTAAGGATGGGTTAGCATCCCTTGGGTCGGGTTACCATGGATATTGACCTCACTATTCTCTGGTTCAGGCCAAAATTGGTCGCCGATCCCTGGGGATCATGTTTGTTTCAGTCAGTGTATATACGACTATACGTCAAACAAATGTTTAATTACTGATTTGGGCTATTAATCAATAAGAATCTACATCTATCTATAAATATAGAAATATGAGTGTTTATTCTGCATACTACCTCCACATTTGAAGAGCTCTTCTTGTTCCAAAGACACTAGATCACATTGTTGATGCATATGTGTTGGACACCATATTAGTTGTTAAATTGAGAATCCAATTACATGCAGGGCACGCCTTAAGCCAAATTTCCCTGCTGGTCATCATGACCAGCAGTATTAAAATTCGAGGTGGTCAACTATAAAATCAGCTGGTCACAATGACCAGCAGCACTCCAAAACCTGCTGGTCATTGAGAGACTTAGCTGGTCAATGAAAATAACTCTTAAAGTAAAAAAAAGCACCTTATTCTATTTATCAAGCTCATTTATTACAGTATACTAAAATAAATCAGAAAAAACAAAAACATCACATCGTAGTAAAAATTATTTGATCGTAGTAAAACTCATTCATAGTCATTATGGCGCATGGATATATATAATGAGTGATAAAACTCATAACCTAAGCACTCATTACGAAACTTTTTCGACCGCCATTTTTAAAAATTGAACTGGAAATTATCATTTTGCGGCAATTTATGGCTTAAAAGGGACATAAATTATAGTTCTAGATGATCTAGGATTACTGAGTAATCTTTCTAGCTATTCTACTTACCTTCAGAACCCCGCTTGGCGCCAGGTTTGGCCGCAAATTTTGCAAATGAATGCATCGAACTTGACCGGATATAGAAATAGTTCCTGAATTAGGGTAAAATCGCATTCGCTACTTTCCGTTACCTATATTTGGATATATTCGTATATTCACGTGATACTGATTAATTATGTATGCAGTGACGTAAGGGCTGATCTATTAATGACACTGACCCCTGTGGATCATCGTCGAACAGTTAACAAACGTAGGCTCCATTAATTAATATTGAATTAAATATAAGGGGCGTGTAAAGATGAATGAACAGCCACACTCCCAGCTAAGTTTAGGGGTCGTGTCAAGGTATCGGACAAAATATCCAGGCCGTATTTCCAGTTGACTAGTATGTATCGGTCAGTATGTCCGACAGTTTTTAATTTTTAACCGGTCCCATCAATATTCTACCGGACAAGTCCGACAGTCCGACGCTTAAGGCGTGCCCTGATTACATGTATCTTTCATATATACAATAATACACATTTGTTAATAAGTTATATCTGTTATACCTTCCAGTCACGCAGATCAAGTAACAACTTGGGATGACCCAAGGAAGATTTTACCAAGTAGCTCCCCAGCAGCAGCTCCTGCCCCCCAGCAGGCAACCCCCAACAGCAGCAGTACCCTAGGACCACTTCCTCCAGGATGGGAGCAGAGTGTAACACCTGATGGCCACGTTTATTTCATAAATCATATTTCGAAAAATACAAGCTGGTTTGACCCTCGGCTTACTCGTAAGTAGACACTTGAATAAATGAAATAAGTAAAAATTGAAAAAACACCTCATTGAAATTAGATCATATTGATTTGCACTAATCACTATTAAACAAGACTTAGTATGGATTGGTACTCAAATGTATTGTAGATTCTCTTCACAATGGGCAAAAAATATGATCTCATGGAAAGGAGGGTTTGGATTATGAAACATATTTTGACATCATTGAGGGACAATTTTGGTTTCGGTAAAAAAGGTTGAAAAAATGACCCGTCATATCATGTGGAAAATGTTTGATTTTTATTATTAATATTTTATATTATTACAATCTCAAATAAAATAAGATTTGTGTCAAAATGAAATGATTAAAGAGATCAGATCGTCCAAAAGCACAATTAGAGTAACCCCCCTGGTATTTTTGTGTTATATGATGTAAAACAAGTATTTCTATTGACTTACCAATGTTGGGGCTTCAGCCAATTCATTAATGGTATCAATTTGATGATTGTTCTTTGCCATAATTTCCACTTACATCAGTAGAAATTCAAAATTAAATTAAAATAACCCGCTTCAATGTGCTCCGATCTGTGATTAGGTGCCTTGACTCAATATTCCGGTAACCGCTTATATTTGCCAAGACTGATGACGGGAAGCTTGGTGCTCAATAAAACTTCGTTATTTATAAATTCAGATGAAAAAAACTTGCAAAAACATACATTTCAACATTATCAGTCATATAATAATAGGATTTTATTAGTACTGATGCCCTTTTAGGGCCAAACGTACGTCCAGCATACAATTTTCAATAACAGTAAATAACAGTAATAACAGTAAACAGTAATGGTAAACAGTATATTGATCATTTTGAAATAAAAGAAGCGTACTTATATTACTTTTTTTTAAAAATTGTATGGTTATAGAATTTTAGTCATTGTGTGGTACAGTAGGTAGTGCGTCGAATTTCTAATCCCTATGGTTTTGTCCGAAAGGTTGGTGTTTGATTCCTGGCGTGGGCAATCTTTTTTTCTTTTATCACAACATATTTTTATCCTTTCTGAATGGTATATTGATTACATGTACTTACAAGGGTTAAATAAATTTAAAAAAATTGTTGGTTGGTTGTTCTTTGGTTGAGTGTTGGATTTGGTTCAAATTTTCTGTGTTGATGCCAAGGGACAAAGCATCTCTGCCGAAGAAGACATTTTCAAGATGTCAAAATTAAATTTCAAAATGGCTGTCATTTTTTAAAAACAAACATAATCAATGATAACTCAAATAACAGTGGATGGATTTGGTTCAAATTTTATATGTTGATGCCTAGGGACAAAGGAACTCTGTTGAGAGGAAATTTTAAAGATTACAGCTAAATTTCAAAATGGCCACATTTTTCGTTAAAAATGTTATCTTTGATAAATCAAATACCAGTGGATGGATTTGATTTTTTTATATACTGAAGCTTAGAGATAAAGGGGGTCTGCCTAAGAAGATTTTTTCAAGAAGGCTGCTATATATCAAAATGGCTGCCATTTGTCGTGACACAAAAAATGACACCCACCTTACATTGCATAACTTGTTTGTCCATTAACATATAGACTTGTCCTTTGACATAATGTGAAAGTACCTTGAGAAATTTCAGATGTGTAGCTCAAGTAGGTCAAATTTTGTGAGCGTTACAACGTTTTCTCTAAATATCGTCCATTTACACACATGGATTCTACACAAAAAATGCCACCAAGCTTTTGTAACATAACTTTGTAAATACTATTGTTGATTTTGGCTTGCACTTTCAGGGAATTGAAGTCCATTCAATTAAACACAAAATAATGTAGTTGTCATTGATAAAATCAGTATAACTTATTGCCAAAACTATGTTACAAAAGGTGGTTGGCTACTACTTTTGATAAGATTGATAGGCATCCCATAATATTATTTGCCATTGTTTTGCAGAAAGTCAACAAAGAAGTAATATCAGAACACAACTCTTAACTGGCAGTGTGCCATTATATCAACAACAGCAGCCACAACAGCAACAGCCACAACAGCAACAGCAAACCCCTTCACCACAACAACCACATATCAGGCAGCAATTACAACAGTCCCCACAGGTAGGCAGGAGCAACAATAGTCTCAATAAGTTCCTTCACATTTGATGCAATATATTTCTACATTCTATTGTACTTGATGATGTATCATTATCCTATTGAACGAAGTTTGAGGGGGTGAAGAGAAGCCTTCCATCCATCCATTCGTCTGTCCGGGGCAATGTCTCAAATACTGGTTGACAGATTTTAAATTCTTTTTAGGTTCATGCCTTAAGGGTGTAGTACATCTTCTCAAGAAAGAATTTTTAATATGTCTGCTCAATTCAAAATGGCCAAAATTATTCATAAGAAGTGTAATCAAATACCAGTGGACAGATTTGGTTCAAATGTTATTTGCTGATGCTTGGGAACAAAGGAGCTCTGCTGAAGAGGGAATTTTCAAGATGGCAGCTGAATTTCAAAATGGCCACCATTTTAAAAAAACGTAATCTTTGACAGCTCAAATACCAGTTGACAGATTTGGTTCAAATTTTGTATGCGGATGCTTAGAGATAAAGTGGCTCTGGTCAAGAATAAATTTTCTAGATGGCAGCTGAGTTTAAACATGGCCTCCATTTTTCAAAAAACATAATCTTTGATAACTCAAATACCTGTGGACGGATCTCATTCAAATTTTATATGCCGATACCTCAGGGGGCATTAACCCCAGAGCTCAAAGATGACATATCCTTGTAATGTTAACCTGTATTGAGATGAAATACATCTCTGATTCATCAAAAATTGACACAATGGCATCAAAATGTTTAATATACACTTTTAATAATATTATGTTCATTTCTGGCATGTTTACCAATATCATAGCTTCTTATTTCACGATTCACATCAAGATATAGAAAGGTGTACGAAATATGTGTGAGGCTGATCAGATTTATTTTGTAAATCCAAAAGTATTGATTTGCTTGAAATTGTACATGGAGCTAAAAGTATAGGCTAACAATAATGTCTAGAAGCTTTGGCAAAATATCTAGTAAAATTTCAAAATGGCTGTTTTCAGCTCATTTTGGTCATATTTATCCCATCGAACAAAGTTCGGAGGGATATAGGGAACGCCTCCGTCCGTCCGTCCGAGGGTAGAAGTTCTGCTCGAAAGCCGATTTTCAAAATGGCCGCTCAATTCAAAATGGCAGCCATTTTAGTGCCGATTTTACAGTAATTTAGGTGCAATATGTAAAACTGTAATAGCAATATGTTTTAAATGTAAAAAATTATGAAGGACATTAATAAAGCTACAAATGTAGACATTAAAGAAGCACATGGCAGCCATCTTGAAAAATGGCGGCCTTTACTCGTTATTTCACGATTTTTGCTATAACTCGAAAAGTAGTGGAGCGATTTTGTTCATATTTGGTATGTGAATACTATAAGCATTGCACACTGTCCAAAGGCACTTTTGGTAGAAGGCGGCCATTTTTCAAAATGGCCGCCATTTTAACGTATTTTACTATAACTTGAAAAGTAGTGGAGCGATTTTGTTCATATTTGGTATGTGAATACTATAAGCATGGCACACCGTTCTATGACACTTTTGGTAGAATGCGGCCATTTTGAAAAAAAATTTGAAAAATGGCCGCCATTTTAACGTATTTTACTATTACTCAAAAAGTAGTGAAGTGATTTTGTTCATATTTGGTATGTTTCATATTTCATATGTGAATACTATGGCACACTGTCTAATGACACTTTGGGTAGTAGGTGGCCATTTTGAAAAATGGCCACCATTTTTACGTTTTTTTACTATAACTTGAAAAGTAGTGAAGCGATTTTGTTCATATTTGATATGTGAATACTCATGAGCCTTGCACACTGTCTCATGACACTTCAGATAGTAGGCGGCCATTTTATAAAAATGGCTGTCATTTTTACATTTTTTACTATAACTCGAAAAGTAGTGGAGCGATTTTGTTCATATTTGATATGTGAACAATTTAAGCATGGCACATTGTCTAATAAAACTTTGGGGAGTAGTCAGCCATTTTGAAAAATGGCCACCATTTTTATGTGTGTTATTTTACAAGTACATGTATGCGATTTTTCAAAGATTTTATAGGTGGCTACTTAAAAGCATATTATTTCTTCTGATGACAACTTGGCTAGTGAGCTGGTGTGTTGTTTTATGATGTTTGCTATATATTTCGTTTGTAAAATTGCCAGCCATTTCTGTTCGATGGGATTCGCTACGCTTTGGCGTTGCCGTTGTTCTAGTATGACATTAGTCATGTTTCAAACATTAATTGCATGACATTATACGAAACAAAAGTTAATGCAACCATGAGATATTGGACCTGTAAGCATTACTCTTCATGTATAAGAATATATTAGTTTTTCAAATATTCTGCTGCCGGTTTACCTTCACATTGTAATTTCAATCGCCTCCATTAATTTCCTGATGAGTTACCTTGAAATATCAAAATGTTATGCTATTCTGATACTTGTAGAACTAAATATGTCTGTCATTCACCTTTTATTAAGCAGTAAAAAATGAAATGATATATACAAAATGTTTTTAGTTTCCTGCTGAATGTTGAGCCTCTCCTCATGATTATGTAATTTCAAGCAATCTGTCTACATAGGGTGTTAATTTTACTTGATTATATTTTTGTGCTCATAGGGATCTACTGATTATATGAAACAGCTGAAGATGGTCCAGTTAGAGAGGGAACGTTTACGTGCCAAGGAGGAGGCCCTTAATAAGAGGGTGCGTGTAGGTGACATTTGCCCTTATAGGCATGCCACACCTGACAGATAAATGCAAGTCATCTCAAGGGGATCTCATTTCAACAACAGGGGTCCATCTTAACAATTGGGGTTCATTCTAGAAACTTAGCAAAACATTTTATATATCAATCTTTGCAAGTGGGGGCATGTGAAACTTGGGAGGGTGACTATATTGATCATTCAATCTTCTTGAAATCACAATTTCTGGATTGATTTTGAGGTATTTGAATCTTTTTTTTTTATTTTTATGTTTCAGTTAACTATTCTGTGATCAGTTGATAATCCTTTTGAGATGGATTGTAACCCCATAGTTCTCATGTTATTGCTTTATGGGTATCTTTAATAATGAGTTTATCATGAGAAATATGTAAATCTGAAGGTGAATTTTAGATAGTATTGTAGCATAGAGGAACTTGCTAAAGCTTTTAATACTGTACTCTGCTACATAGTTAGTTGGTTTCTAATTCTCCTTTCTGAGGTAGAGCTCTTTAAAAGCAATATCATATGGCGTGGTACCCAAACTGCATGCATACTATGCACGCAGTTTGAAACACTGCACGCATATTTAAAAATGGAAGAGGGGAGGACACGACTCCCAAAAGGATGAAAGTACTGGAAAGACAAGGTTTTGTGGAGACTTACATACTTTACTTACTTACAAGTAGCACTCAATTTTTTCCCTGACGTTAACCTAATTATCTCAATATAAGGTTCCTTAGGAGCTTTCGTGTTCAAGATATACAGTGTTGCGTCATATAATGTCTGTTTGTCTCATGATCATCTACTTCAATATGAAATATTTTGTAGTGTACATGAAACCTGGGTGAGATTTACCTATGAAACAAAACCCAAGTATTTTGATTTCTGTGAAAAGTGCGACATCAACTTATGTGTCGGTAATCTATAAACCGATGAAATATTTTTTATTAATCTGCTTAAATTTTAAAACCTATGTTAATCTGGACACAGTTTTCGTTATCACATGGTAGAATCATATGATCACCACCGAATGGACGTATGAAACTATAAACCAATGTAGAATAAATGTCGTAAAATGATGTTTGAAAACAGACTCCAACTTGTATGTTGCAATGTTGATATGCGCGCACTTTGTCTGTGTATCAAACTGCGTGCAACTCCCCTCCAGTCCTCTGTTACATGCTTAAGGTTATTTTGATTTGAAAATCATTTTGAGATTTTGGGTTATATATGAGTGTTACCATGACAATGAATTATGGATCTCAAAACTATTCTAACATTTGTAACATAGTAAAAACTTGAGAAGTCATGGTCAGATTAACTTGAAACTCATCTATTGATAACCTTGATGCATGTTATAGACATGTTAGGATTTTGAGCAATTTTCGTTACAATCCAGGTTAGAGTAATAGAAAAGCAAGTAATGCTTACTTGCGAACCATGTTACTTGAAGTGTCCATGTAAAATGTAAACATAACTGACATCTAGTGTTCAAAGTATGTACTATCACTTTGGCATCACTCCATCAATAAGATAAATTTTATCTTTTATAGTAATCCCTTACAAAATATTTCATAACATGCTTTTACTCTTTCATATCACTAGATATTAGTTGATCCTTTTGATTTTCTCAATCTTCTATCTTTAGTTTGCAATTCTACATGTTTTACACTTCATAACATGCATATATTATTCATTTCTGATCTGAGTTTTTTGCATAAGCATAAGACCATGATTGTAATGTTATTTAATTGTAGATTCTTACTCTACAGGTGAAACTACTAAAATAGAACATGTTGTGATTCATCTTCCCATTGCTTCTCAAAATAATCTACCTTCACAATATGTTTTTCTTAAAACTGGATGTAAATAGATATTTTACAACACTGAATATATCATCATTTACTAACATGACAACTGGCTATACATTCATAATCAGCAATCAAAAGAATTAGACTCGTATTGTGATCACTTCTTGTGTGTTTCAAAATTTTTTGTTTGGTCAAATAAGACCAAAACAGGCTATTCGAAATCTGAAGCGAAAAAATGGCGGCAGTTTCATTTAAATTTTGTAGTCACAACATTCTTCAAGATAGAGCCTATTCACACATGGTAGGCGGAATGAGGATCAAATTGAATATTTTAAAACATAGAATGTGGAAATTGCTTTCTTTTTTCGTGCTGTAAAAGAGTTTGATAATGGGCCTTGTTTGAGTTTGTACGAGCCTCGAAATTACGAGCCTCGTACATGCTCGTACGGGCCTTGAAAACAATAATTCCCTTTAGCATGAAAAATGGAATCTCTAGTTACCATGATTGAGTATTTTGTTTCATGCTCTTAATCTGTGTTATGTTGTGGTTTTTGCCTCTGAAATTAAAGGGGTTTAATGAAATAGCCCAGAAAATAATCTAATTTTGGTTATCTCTTTTTCATTATGAACTGGCTCAACCTTTTTTAAGTTTATGTCAAATAGAAAGGTGTGCACTGTTATTTCATTTACATGCTCTGTATTTGAAATCTATTTGACTTAAACTATCTGTATAGACTCTCTATTAGCCTTTGAACTGAAAGCAGTAAACTCTTAACAGCTTGTCTGATGAATATAGCACATTCACCTACTGTATTTAGACTTATGCATATTGATTTATTGACTTATCCTTTAAAATGTAACTCTTGCCATACCTTAGCTTTCAGGCTTTTTCTCTATGAAGGATTCATCTCTTCAATATTCTTCGTATATGTATGAGCCTATTTCAGAGGTATTTTTCCATTCTTCAGAAGTTAAAAATTAATCTTTGGAAAAAGTTTATGTTTGAGTAGAAATTCTCTAATCAACATTTACACATCCTTACATTTTCCTTGATCATGTTCCAGGAGATGGCACTCCTACAGGGAATCACTGTGACAACAGACAACCTGACAATCTCCAGCACACCCTCTGCTGAGCCTGATCTACAGTCAGTAAACACAACAGGAATTGATCCATTTCTTGGACAGGGGGGCAACACACATAATAGAGAAAATAGTGCCGACTCTGGCCTAGGGGGGATGGGGACAACATATTCTCTCCCTAGAACACCAGATGACTTTCTAAGCAATGTTGATGAGATGGATGCCACTGATGGTAAGTGTGTTTTTGATTTTTGTTTCATGAGATCACATACTTTATAGAAAAAAGTGATTGTATTCATGACAAGTAGTTCCAATATATAAGGGAAAATAGTGGGCAAGTAGTTGTTAAATACTAGACAGAAAATAGTTCCCATTCTCATAGATACAGTAATTTAGGTACAATATATAAAACTGTAATAGCAATATGTAAATGTAAGAAAGTTGTATAGGACATTAATTAAGCAAGAAATGTAGCCATGGCAGCCATCTTGAAAATGGGGGCTTTTACACAATATTTTACAATTTTTGTGATAACGTAAAAAAATATTGGAGTGATTTTGTTCATATTTTGTGAACACTCATTAGCATGGCACATTGTTTTATGACACTTTGGTTAAGAAGGTGGCCATTTTAAAAATTGCTGCCATTTTTGTGTTCAAGTTTTTTATTACTATAATTCAAAAAGTAATAGAATGATTTTGTTTAGATTTGATATATGGATACTCATAAGCATACTGTCTAATGACACTTTAGCTAAAAGGCATCATTTTTATGAGTGTTATTTTACATTTTTTACTATAAGATTGGTCAAAATAACACTTAAGGACAAGGCCAGATTTGCAGTTTCTCTTTCCTGTTTAACTGTTAACTTCTTGAAAATGGATATATCATTAATACATCTTTATTCATGTTTTTTGTATTTTATTGAATTTTGTCAAGAATTTATGACTTATTGACTTCATATATGTTTTTTACTTGTTGATTAGGGTATAGAAGGTGATAAATCAGATGGACTTAATGAGTTTTAACATGTGTGAGGTCATCATATACATATACAACATACTAGTAATAAATTATTTTTATTATCACCTCAGGAAAACCATTTAGTTTCCATACATAGATTTATGTTCACTCTGTGGCTATCTGGTGCAGTATTAAATCACATTTTTATTTCATTAAATTGGTTGGCTTTGGTCTTAGTAGCTCTTATTTTTGAAAATTCTCCTCATTACACTTTTCCATCAAACCCTGCCAAATTTTCGTATTCAGTTTCATAATGGTATCATAGGTTATTGCAAACTCGCATATCGATTTGCAGACATCAAAAGAGCTAATGGCTCAAGTTGGAATTTACAACACGCCATGACTCGGCAATATCTGAACTACAAGTTGCGCATGAGCAAGGACTAGCAGTGCCTAGGGACAATGGAGCTACGTTGAAGAAAAGATTTTCATTTTTTGAAAAAAACATGTTATCTTTGATAACTCAACTACCAGTGAATGGATTTGCTTCAAATTTTATATGATTGTGCCTAGATAAAAAGTAGATTTGTTTAAGAAAGAATTTTCAAGATGATGGCTGAATTTCAAAATGGCCGCCATTTTTCATAAAAACATAATCTTTGATAACTCAAATACAAGTTGATGGATTTGGTTTAAATTTTATATGCTGATGCCTACGTAGAACCAAAGGAGGTATGCTGAAGAAGGGATTTTAGAATGGCTGCTAATTATCAAAATGGTGGCCATTTTTCATAAAAATGTAATCTTTGATAACTCAAATACCTGTGAACGGATTCGGATCAAATTTTATATGATGATGCCTAGAGACACAGTACCTCTGTTTGACAAAGAATTTTCAAGATGGCAGCTGAATTCTAAAATGGCCGCCATTTTTCATAAAAAACGGAATCTTTGATAACTCAAATAGCAGTATATGGATTTTATATGCTGATGCCTAGGGACACAGGAGAAAGATTTTCAAAATGGCGGCTGAATTTCAAAATGGCTACCATTTTTCATATAAAAGGGACGTAATCTTTGATAACTCAAGTCAAATGCTAATTGATGGATATGCTTTACATTTTATATGTTGATGCCTAGGGACAAACAAGCTCTGTTCAAGAAGGAATTTTCAAGATGGCCACTAATAATCAAAATATGTTTTGTATGGTGGGATTTGCTACTCCGTGGAGTTGCTGTTTTTCTAGTTCTAACTGTACTGCCCAGCTGCACTGGTTTACTCCAGGTTTATTTCTCTCTTAATATCGTTAATTTAGTGGATTTTTCTTTGAATTTATCGGGGATTCGAAAATCATGAAAGTAAGTTGTATAGAACAGAGATTCTCATTGGTAGATTTAGCTTGTGGCCAGAGAGGACCAATTAGATCCCGGCTTTCATAAACGTGGTTGCTTAAATTTAAAAAATGGTTTTAGTTTGCAAGAGTCCAGAGAATTTCGCTGAATTTCCGAAAATCGGACCAAGTATTCTGGTTATTTTGGCAATTCCGCATGATTTTCATGAAAATCAAGAATTCTGTAAAATTTTGAGGTTTTGACTTTTGTCCATGCACGGAATTACAGAATACTGGTATCTATGATTATTGTTTTCTCCCCAGTCCTCTGTTTCAAGCTCTGTAAACATAAAACTAATAGAGTACATTAACATTTGACAGAAATCTAAGCTGTAAAAATTGAAATATTTGTAAGAAAACGAACTAATAACACTGAAATAATCTTTCCTTTTTCCTGGGAGATTTTCTGCTTCAACTCATAAATTATCCCAACGAACGAAGTTCGGTAGGGATATAGTGAAGCCCTCCGTCCGTCAGTCAGTCAGTCCGTCCGGAAGATAACTCAAATATTAGTTGACGGATTTTCTTCATATTTGGTGGAAAGATGTATATTGATGAAAAGTTTTACGCAATAAAAAATTTTTTCAAGATGGCCGCCGCTTTAAAAATGACGGAACTTTTTCGCAAAAATCATAAATTTTTCATTCTAAACCAAAGTAATTAATATTATTGTTTGAAATTTTGGTAGTATATTCGCAACATCTATCTATTTCACATATATTCCCTTTTTTCATCCTGACCCCCAGGGGCCGTGTATGGGGGGTCAGGAAAACAGAAATTTTCGCTAATTTTTAGATCTTTCTGAAGTATAGCTTTATTATACTCAAATGAAAGGCAATTAAAAGTAGATTGCAAATATTGTATCTTTTTTCTGATGTGAGCCTCGTAAAATTCAAAATGGCCGTCTAATGTACGATTTCGCAATAATTTTTCGATCCCTTCAAAGTATGGCTATATTATACTCAAATTGAAGGAATTTTGGAGTAGATCACAATTATGGTATTATTTTTCAGATTTGTACCTCAGAAAATTCAAAATGGCTGCTTTGCAAGAATTTGCAATTCTAAAATCTAAATTTTTCAATTTTAACCAAAGTAATGAGTATAATTGATTGGAATTCGGTAATTTATATTTTGTTCGTTGGGATTATCTAGTTACTCCAGTCCAAAGTTTTGTGGCGAAACCTGAATGAGTCAGGTTTTGAGTGTGAGTCCCACTGCTATTTTTTTATTTAAAAATTAGCAATAAGCCTAAAATATCAATCACATTTGTTGATGACCATACATTGACCATAGTTCCCTGAAATCAGTAAACCTCTGCACCAATCATAGAAGATCTACTGTCACCTTATGTACAGTGTATTCAGTCTTATTAGGTGATCATATGATCGGTGTAGGGGCATCTTGTGGCTGTTTTGGTATTTATAAAAAAAATTCACGCGCTGTAGGGGTGCCCTATAGTGACCATGTGTATCTGACCAGAAAATTTCCATGGCGACTGTACAATTGCTATTGGAAGAATGGCCATTAAAATAATAGACCATATTATTATAGTCTCCAACTTTTTGTGGATAATGTTTGGTGGTTGGCATTCAGCGATTTGTGTTTGGTGGTTGGCATTCGGTGGTGTGCGTCTGAAACAAATAACAAGCGGGGACATTTTGTATGTCAATGCCTTCTTATAAATAGTATTCAGTAGTTGGTAGTATTGCTATTGTTGCAAATCTAATGTAAACATTTTATCATGTAAATTACAAGACTGCATTACAGATATCGTACAGTGTTTATTGCTTATTTCAGGTCAGAAATTACAACATAACAGTGAGTTTAACCTGGACACAATGCAGGGAACATTGGATATGAATGCAAGCAACACAGAGACAAACATGGACTCAGATGACCTTGTACCTAGCTTACAGGTAACCATTCTTCCAGTGGTATTGTGCTTTTGCTGTGACAGCACATGTCATGTTTCTGTAATAAGAGTTGTTCTTCAAGCAATTGAAATATTCAAAATTCTCTTGTAGGCATGTAAAATTTGAATAGAATGTATAACAGTTCATGAAGCTTTAATTGATTGATTCATTTATTCCAGGAGGACATAAGCTCAGAGCTATTGCAGGATGTTGATCTGAACCCCAACAAGATGGACATTCTTACCTGGTTGTAAGGGGCCTCATTGTTGCATGTGCTAAGGGGTCTTTGGTACAGAGATGATATTTCCATATCAGGGAGTCCCTATGTAGTCTAGCAGAGCACCCAAACTGTTTTCATCCAAAACAGATTTTGATTTGAGATTACAAGATGATTATTTAATCTCTCGGGTATAGTAATAAATTGCAAAAGGAATCTGGTAAAATGAAAATGAAAAAAGAATATTATGGGGTACTTCTTTATGTGAACCTCTAAGAAGACATGTTCAGTCCAGTGAGTTACATTATTTTCAAATTTTCTACACCAGAATTGAATTGTTTGAAGAGTTGTAAACAATCTCTATGCAACCTGTTTGGGTTTGAGAATATATATCTTGCACGATAGGTTATATCATCTCATACTCAGATTCAAAAAGGGCAAATACAATGTAGAAGCAGTGAATGCTGTTTCAAGCCTGCAGAGCAATACAAATGCCATATTTTTTGTGATGTCATGAAAGGAATTTGAGTGCATTGTTATAGACCCAATGGAGGTCCAATGTTGAACTGTTATAGTGCCTGCTCATAAGGCACATCATGAATATTCCTGTTACAAATGTATAAATCTTGCATACTTCATATCTAGTTAAGATTTTTCATTTGTCATAGGACTTTTCAAATGAAAAAAACAAATTCCAACAAGGCCATTGTAATTAATTGTTGTTTCTCAGTTATGGTCTTGAGAATCAAGGAATTAATTCATATTGGCCAAACATTTCTCAGACTTATCAGGGAGTGCTCAAAATGTTCATTCAAAATGTAAGATTTTTTATTTTTTCTGAAACTGTTGTCATTTCCTGAATCTTGCCAAGAAATATTTTGATAGGAAATATGAATGTGGTGTTATTTTGACTGGTATATTCTTGCTATAGTGGTATATACGTGGTCATTGTCAGTAAAATCTTCCGTGAGGGTTGACCCAATGGTTCTCATAGCTTTCACTCTTTCATTCTTGAATGCCTTTATTTAAATTACAAGGTATGTACTGTAGTCTTCGATTTCTGTTCTTGTATGCTTATGAGGAATGCATGTGACCATTAAGTTATTCCTATTATTATCCATACTGTACTTATCAATTGACTTATACAACAACATATTTCACTGTGGCTATTCAATTCTAGGTAATTTTCCATACTGCTCTTTGAGATACATAAAAATTTGGGATGAATCTTGCTTTTGCTTCATCATTAAAGATTATTGTATGTATGTATTATAAGTTGTTTAACATTATAAGCATGCAAAAAATCAACAAAAAATAAATGTTATTTGAATTAGTTTCTTTGAATGTATACTTATCAATAATGAGTTTTAAGTTTTAAAAGTTTCTAAAGTTCAATAAGAAAAACATAAAATATATATTACAATATCTCATTGTATGAAGTATGGCAATGTATTGTATGATACTATATCCATCTTTCTGTTTGCTTTATTATTCTCATTAAGCTGATCAGCAATTATAATTTACATTAACATCTTTTCAAGTGGCATAACAAGTCTTGATATACAGTGTGCTAGGGAACCATTATTTAAATTGAAAGGTGTCATTACAAAGACAAGAAACTATGTAACCCAGCAATATGTCACATTTTGGGTAATGAATTCTGGGTAACAAGATTACCCATTATGCAATATTTTGATGTAGAAGACCTGCGTCGTGCCTTGTATACGGTATAAGATATGAAACATTATGTTTAATAACTATTATTATATTTGTATTGTTATAATGTATTGAATACATGCATCTACACATACTGTAGTTTTATATTATTTCCCAGTTTAGGGACCTATTGTGTGGACATATTGCATTGTGGGTATTTCATTGCCTTCTGGTTAATATTATTACCCATATTGCATTGTGGGCATTTCATTGCCTTCTGGTTAATATTATTACCCATATTGCATTGTGGGTATTTCATTGCCTTCTGGTTAATATTATTACCCATATTGCAGTATTTTGACGCAGGATATATATATAAATGCATTGTGCATGGACATTTTTAAAGGCAATAAAAGTGAACTCTAAATGAAAAAATATCAAAAAAGTTATTGTGCAAACAATATTTATAGGGATTTTTTATAGAGATTGTTGCTTGATGCTATTAGTCACCCTACATATAACAACAAAGAGTATTTCTATCCAAGTGCTCATATAAGTTATGAGTTTTGAATTCAAATCTCTTGCCTAGATGATTCTTAGTTATTTTACAGATGTTTTTCTGAAGAAAAAGCCAAACTTGCCTTTATTCATTTGTGATAAGGTATTGTAGTTATTCATCAAGTATGGATATTTCGAAAATGATGTGAATAATATGTTTCAGAAAAATGTAATCTTCAAGGAAAGTGTTAGTCTCGATATGAAAGTAACTAAGTACCATCTGGGTGTGTTACAATGAACTTGTATAATAAGACATGAAATATTTTTCATAGAGCTGGCAGGTTTTTTCAAGTGTTTAAGTTTTAACAAAAGCCTGTGCTGTAAATAGAATGTATTTTTAAACAATATAGGCTATATTTTACATCATTCTGCTGTTGTTCTCTTTATATTAGGTTAATTGTCTGATTTTATTTGACTATAATTTTGTTTGAGTAACTCTTGGAATAAAATCAGCTGGAATGGCAACTCCATTGTATATCTATTCGAACATTTGGAGACATGGGTTGCTATTGCTGTTGTTTATATAGTATTTCCAGAGTAACTTTATTCTATGCAAACCCTGAATGTATTTATGCTCAGTGCTGTTTATGTAATGCCGTGTGTTTCCTTGGTGATTTCAATGTTGTCATGTTTACCTGGTGGTTGCTATGTTAAGCGTAATGATATGGTATACTGTTTTTTGTGGCAGTCATTCAGTTATTGGCTACAGTGAATTCTCCATGTAAACATAGTCATCAATGATCACTCTAAGACTAAGAATTTCCTAAGACTAATACTACTTGTTGTTGGGCAGGATGTCCACCTTATAAGTAGTGATCGCACCAATATTGAATGGTAGTGGTAAAGATGAGCCATGACGACTAAAAACCAAAAAAGATTAGGCTACTATGATTTTTTAAATCATATTTCTATAGCACATGGTGATGATTATATCAGATTGTTTGATGTTTTGGAAGTGGAACATATTAAATTATGTATGCCATGTGTTTTTAATGTGATCAAACGCAAATAATGATAAAACAGTTGTTTAAACATACAATTTGAATTCACGACAATAAATTATGATCTAATATTGTCAAAATGTCAATAATTCCTGATCAACGACAGATAAAGAAGTATATGTACATTGATAAGTTTTATTTCTTCATACATGTGAAACAACGCAGTCTTTAATCATATATATCCAATGCAAAAGGCATGTTTACCAGTGAGTATTTTGATGATGAGAAATGGCTATGCAATTTATGAAGAGACAGTGTATGTGTTTATGCCCTCAGCTATGCTTTATTAGTGTTAAGCTGGTCAGAAAGTCAACTTAGTAGTCGTAGCTCGTCCTTACACATACCATTCGAAATTGGTGCAATCACTAGATCAGTATATATGGTGAAGTCTAACCTCACATATTATCATATTCAAGGTCTCTTAGCAACCCAAAAGCAAACCTCAAATGTTATTAAAAAAAATGTTTACTCAATGACATAGATACATCCTGAATTACAGTGGTGTGTAAAATTCCTAATATTACAGTACCTGTCAAAGTTCACCTTACGGTGTAGGAAATACTTTAAATTGTTGAGAGTTGTGATTTGTACTGTAGTATGTAAGACTAGTGACTTCATGTAATCAATCTATAGTGAAATGTTCTTGCAAATTTCTTCATGCTGATCAATTATATAAACCTGGAAATAGAAACGATCACCATGACTTTTTTGGAAGAATATTTTCCTTGACACGGTACTGCCTCCTTATTGTTCCACTTTGTTGTTGAATATGGCATAATTGTTGTGTTTCAGAATAATTAACAACTTTCTAGAAACTCAATGACGGTTTTAGATTGACTGTGAAATATTTGATGACAAGATGAAACTTTCTAGAAGGTCTAGAATGTACCAAAATGTTCAACTCCTAGTAGAGCCTATTCTACCAAATACAGACCTACATACTGCTCTATATTTATACAACTGTTATATTATTTTATCCATTATCTAAAGACCACATTTATATGTATCATAGATTTAGTTATTCATTAAACTTTGAGAAATAGTGCGATCAAATATAAATATAATACTGATGATTATCAAATTATGAAATATATATTTTCAAATGTGTCAATTATTATAATACCCATTTTGACTGAGATAAAAGCTTAACTTTGATAAGGCACTAAGTTATTTGTTCAATTTAGAGCTGAGCTTTAAAACAATTTACAATTTTCCAGAAATGTTTTAAAGTTCTGCTTTTAATAAATGTTGTCTGCTTAATATTACAAAATTCTTAAGCTTTACAGGTAGATAAAAATTCTTGCTTGAAAAGGAAGTGAAAAAATGTTGACAGTAAACAATGACAAAGTCATCGTTTCTCATGTATTCTGGGGCATGTTGCTAGAAATGGAAGAATACATGTCCCTTAATGCAACATGAGCTGTCAGATGGATTTTTACCTTCTTTTCTGTACCACATAGTCCTGATCTCAGTTACTTATAAAGGAGGAGTGTGAATTTATAAATATACACAAAATATAATTTTTATATCTCTTAAAACCTTTTACACAATGGTGTACCGTGCATTGTTGGTTATTCTTATAAGACTATATTCATTTTAGTGTAGACATTTTGTATCCAAATTTTGAAAAAAAAAATCATGAAAAAAATTTAAAAACACTAAAAAAGTTATTGCATGGTGATTCATATTAAGTTGTTAATTGATGTTGGATTTTGTAAGTTGTTACTAAGTATATTTTTTATTATAAAATGTAACAAAAATCATGTAGTGTAAAAGATTGCCTCCTTTCATGTAGATGGAGTTCATACATATTAAGTTAACATTGCTCCCAGTAAAATTTTGTTCCCATATACTGTACATTTAGTTTATATCAATTAAAATGTGGTATCAGTGGATTAAAAGCTTAAACCTTACATTCTAAGTGTCTATACATATGATAACACTAAATTCTAAAATTTGTAATTTACTTTCTGTTAGTAGATGACAGATGTTTTCAGCACAAACGTGGATTTACTGTTTATTTATGAACATTGATATACTATGATGATTATGTGGCAATATTCTCAGTTAATATGTGCCATGAGGTGATCTTATTATCATCACAATTGTAAACTTAATTCTGATTTCTCAGCTTTTGAGATCAGATTTTAACTGGGCGTAATTGAGGGTTATGATTATGTGAAAGTGGAGTATCTAAATTGACTGAGGAATGTGTATGAGAATGCCATGTTATTGTTCCTGGTTAGTTGGGAAGGGTTAGAATTCATGGTCATTTACACATATTATTGTAAATAAACTATAAATATATAGAACTCATGTTTGTGTTTTTATTACTAAACTTCAAGGAAAAACATTTGAGTACCCCTGTGTTTATCCAAGTTCTTCCTTCTGCCCAACCTGTTGTTTCATAATATCCTCTGCTACAGGAACACAGTTCACATGATGATTTCACAATAATCTTTTATTACTGAAATTCCCACTGATTTGACTCATTTTTTAATTTTTAATTTTTTCTGCTGGATCTTTGTTTTTTGAACAATTCATCTGAAAGATCGTCAATTTAATGGTTATCTTTTGAATGATAACATTATAATTTGAAGTAGAGTATATACTTTTCTCTATATTGTATTAGAAAACACATCAGACACTTCTTTTGTTCTTGGTGTCATATGTTCAGATTGAAATGAAACATCTATCCGAACCTCATTGGAACAAAACGACATAAACAACGTGTTTTAGGTCTCTCAATATTGTAATTGTACAAAGGAAAGTTTGGTTGATCAAGTATCTTGTTCATGAAATAAAAGGTTTATCTTAATTTTTATCTATTTTGGGTGGTTTTGTAAGTTTTTGCATACTTTTTGTTAAATCAACCTAAATTTCATTTGTATAACTATAATAGTGAGAGGTCTAAGAAAATGTATATGGTATTTTATTCCAACAAGGTTCGGAAAGACAAGAATTGGTAGAAAGGAACAAAAAAACAATTGCACTAAAAAACAAAAATTTTTAACAAAAACAGTTATAAAAAATAAATATAAATAACTTTTGCATGAAATTGTTACCAATCAGTCAACATTACATAAAGGACCGTGATTTTTTACAGAATGTTTTCAATAATTGGTTTAAGAGAAAAACATTGTTGAATTCAGTTCACCATATCGATAACTAGCCTTTTGCAGAATATCTAATTTTCAGGCAGGTTTGTGTTTTGAAATTTCTTCAAAATTCAAGTCTGCGAATGAATTATGGCATCAATGAAATTTTAGACCTTTCTCAAGAAGATGTGATAATATTAGCCAATTCATGCATGTATTAAGGAAATTATAGCCTGTTGCATGAGTTCACTTTTTTGGACCACCCTGTATAACGTGTTCAATTTCTCATTTCTATTTATCTTTATTTCCTGAATACCCTGTATGTTATATAATCATGTACAATAATGTAATATCACATTATCATCATCATTATTATTCCTTGTGTAAGGGCTTCTACGTTAGTGCATTGTCTCTGTAATCTTGAATATTGACAAAGTCGTTAACCAACCTACCTGCGAGCTCAAAGGTTATAACTTGACACCCTCTTCAAATTGATAGAAATATAACAATAAAGAGGATTGTTAACATACATAGGTTCAGAAGTTGGTGAGTTTCTTATTTTACCTAGTTTTCATTGTTTAGAATGTACTCATAGTATAAAAATAAAGTATCATACAGAGTAACCACAATCAGGAAACTGGGAAAATAAAAACTGCTTTTTCTACTAGCTTTGAAAAGTCAATGAATTTCAGAGTTGCCTCAAATATAGATAAAATGCTTATTGGAAAAAAATGAATCTGAACATTTAAAATGATAATTTTTTTGTTAAAAATTGGATCTTTAGAGATGATTACGTCCGGTGATCGGAAAATGTGACGGAGGGCGGAGTAGGCGATTTCTGCAAGATAATTCAACAAATCTGGAAGATTTATTTTTTAAAGAGAAAGTTTACCATTGAATTGCTAAATGAATAGGCCAATGGTATAACTTAGGAGCAGAAAACTATTGTGAATTCATATGTTTCATGTTTGGTGGAGGGACCGAATATGATCTGGAAATATGCTTCCACTGCTGGACAGGACATATGAAATGCACAAAAGAAGGGAGTAGCTTCTCAAATTCTTGTAAATAACAGAATGCTCAAACATATGAGCATGACGCTTGCTCATGTAAGAGGCGATACCTGCCACTTGTAGTATGTTTCGCATACTTTCACTATTTTTTCAACATATTTATGTATATATACTCATATATAAGATGATAAATAACATGTAACATAAGTTACATATAGCAAAAACATGATTTGTGCACGTTGGTGCGTTGCGCCGATCTTAATACATGTAGATCATATTTTACTATACCATGCGCTTTATATTCATTTAGCAATTCAATAGTAAACTCTCTAAAAAATAAATCTTCAAGATTTGTTGAATTTTCTTGCAAAAATCGCCTACCCCCCCCCCCATCCGTCCCATTTTCCGTGAATAAGAAAGTATTAAGTGAAATACAAAAATGGGCACTCTTGATTAAAACTGTTTAATCAATTCAAACTAGAAAAATAGCAACTCCTTCACATGCGTTCTCTTGTCAGGATCAAATTGTTGAGCCCTGGACTGCAATGTGGAATGACCACCCCTTGAAAGGTGTTCCTTTCCAAAATTTGCACGAGATGCGGAGCAAATGCAAATGTTTTCAATGAAAACATTTGCAAGGGTCAAGTTGGCAAGTTATCAATTTCAATCTGAGGTGTCAAATTATCACCTTGACAACCTTTTAACTAGTGACATTGAGTTCGTTATTGGTTGTATATTGGAATGAAGTTATGTGAAATAGCGTATTCAGATTGGTTGGAATCGAACACACCTTGCCTAGCTGTGTGTGAATAACAATATGAAAGCTATTTTTGTCATATTGAAAGTAGTTTTCACCAGGTTAACGTTTAACAACTGATAAATTGAATATTACGTATAAATATCTAAAAAGATTTTAAAAGCATACATGTTTTAATAAGGCGTTTGATAATTTTATTGAATTCTATCAATAATATGATGAAAAAAACAGAAGTAAACATACACGGATACAGGTACCTCATGAGACACAAAGATTAATATGGGTAATTTTAAAGCAGGAAAAAAACATACTATTCTAGTAATCAAGATGGCAAAATACTGAAAACTGAAAAAATCGAAGGAAGTTTTGAAAGGATAAAGGGCAAATGCCCTCTCAGTCCGTATGATTTATTTTTAGGAGTAAAATGAAGAATACAAAAATATTTAAGTGTTTGGACCCACATAGGCTGAGATTGAGGTCATTAAGTGCAGTGCTCTCTGAATGCTCCAAAATGAGTGAGAATTGTTGTTTTTAGCAGAAATGAGAGTTGACATTTGAGAAAGTGTTTACATTTGAGTATTTAGGGATGTTGAATATAATCACTGGGTTTATGAGACACGTGAAACATTGGATTATTAATCTTATATGTGATTTTTTAATGTTAAAATTACAGTCTAAACCGTGCAGATTTTAAAATAAATGATTGCGTAATAAAAGCTCTTTGACTATTATTGACATCAAGAACTACTTTACAATCAGACAATTCTTATTTCCAGATTTGACTTAAACATGGCAGATGGACTTCAAGGAAATTGGAGCCAAAAATCAGTAGAAAATCTAGAAAACTACATGAAGGCAGTAGGTATGTAATTCTAGGTATGGCCTTACGTCTATAGATCTAGAGAGCTACATAAAGATAACATATTTGTAAGGCAAAACCTATAGGCAAGGCTTTGGTATGGGCCCAAGAGAGCCATTTGAAGGCAATTATATGTCTGAACAACTGATTTAATAATTGTTGCAGGTGTGGGATTTGCATTACGAAAGATAGGAAATGTGACATCAACTCATGAAGAACTTGTAAAAGATGGTGATTCCTGGACTATAAACGTTACATCTACATTTAAAAATTCGAGCAGAGTTGCCAAACTTGAGGAAGAATTTGATGAAGTGACTGCAGATGGAAGAAAATGTAAGGTAGGCCGTGAATTCTTGTTTTTTTAGGTCAGTTACAATAAGAACAATTCTTTTTTATCTTTCAAACTGACACGGGGCGTTGAAATTGGCAATATAATCAAAATTGTACAAAATATGCAAAGTATTTCAGGTTTGATTGTTTCCAGAGTACATTCTCTAATAAAGACGGGAAGCTGGTGAAACACCAGAAGGGTCCAGGAGAATCTATCATTACAAGAGAACTTGTGGACGATAACACTATGATACTGGTAGGAATTCACATCATCTTGGACTTTTGGACAACATTTCAAATAAGTGCCACATTCTGTGTCTCACCTCCTACATCCATTAGTTTAGTGTTCAGTGAAATCAATGTCGTTTTGACGTTGTTCTTTCTTTAATAAGACAATTAGGCAAAGGAAGGAAGTTATTACTACTATTTCGTTGTTGTAGGATGTTGATTCTACAGTTTGGAATAACTTCGTTCACCTTTACGTACTCACGCCCGGTGATCGTACAAAATGGATGGAGGGGGGGGGGATTAGGCGATTTCTGCAAGAAAACTCAACAAATTTGGAGGATTTATTTTTTCAAGAGAAAATTTACAACTGAATTGCCAAATGAATAGGCGCAGTGCATGGCAAAATATGTTAGGCATAGGCCATCTAGTATTTTTTTTAACTGATACCCTTCAAAGAAACCCCAGTAAGAAACTGGATATTATATCTCTGGAGAATGAAAAATGGGAAAATTTGGAGTCATAAGAATAAATTCAAGTAGCATGTCTTATCATGTCTTACATGTATATACACGTTATCCCCCCTCCATCCAATATTAATTTATTTCGATTATTTTTTTTAAAACGCATGGAAACTAACTTTAAAAAATGAGCAAGATGTCATTAGTATTGTGATAATAACGTCCCTTATACTTATTTATTACAGGTCGTGTGTAGACCATTGTTGCCCGATTTATAGCAAAAACATTGACTTTTGCACGTTGGTGATGATGCGCCTTTTTTAATAGATCTCATATCTTAGAAGGGTATCAGTTCAAAAAAATACTAGATGGCCTTACATATTTTGCCATGCACTGGGCCTATTCATTTGGCAATTCAGTTGTAAATTTTCTCTTGAAAAAATAAATCTTCCAAATTTGTTGAGTTTTCTTGCAGAAATCGCATAATCCCCCTCCATCCATTTTGTACGATCACCGGGCGTGTTACTATAACCTGATATGGAGGCATAGAACTTAATGACAGCGTGATACTATGACATCATATATTAGGAATGCTACCATAGTGGAACTAATTTAGTCATAACAAAATATTGTTACCATGGAAACAGTTGTGTTGTTACAAGAACAATTACAAAGTCAAGTAAAAATGTGGTGATTTCCTACGTTTTTGATAAAAAAAAACAGTGTAAAACTGGTCCGCAGACCCCTGCGACTGCTTATAACTGCTTCTTCAAATATATGAAGACATTGTTATATCATTTCAACAATTTTAATACATTATAATAACTACATCCTCAGGAATATATGCACCAATAGTTGGTTGGTTTTTAGCATTTCTAGAGCAAAATTATGTAAATGTACATTTAATTGAATTGTAATGAATTCGTCTATTTTCAGACTATGGTTCCAGTGGGTAAAGAAGAACACACGAGTACAAGAACATACACACGTGACAAATAAACAATCAATAAATCAATATTATTAAACAATTAATGTGAAACCACACAATCAATTTGTAAAATTCGAGATTGGCAAGGTTATTTTTGCTCATTGGATACTTAGTTTATAATAGTTAATTTTAGAACATTAAAAATCATATTACCAACTTTCTTTTTTGTTGTTGCACTTCCAAAACGACTTGTTAACTCTTGTTGCAATAATAAGTTTCAAAACAGACGTCTCAGTGCCGCATTATTTTTTAAATCGGACAGCTTTTTGACATATCCAGGTTTTAACAATGGAAGTGTAAAATATTATTTTACACTTCCATTGTTAAAACCTGGATATTACACTTACTGAACCAAATGCAATGGTGTCATTTTTAGCCTCTACAGTGTAACTCTTCAATAAAGCAGCAGGTTTTCATTCGAATTGTCTCATATTGTTAGAAAATGATTTATCTTTAACAATGGTATATAATACATGGCATGAGTTAACATATATCGTATTGGGTATTGGTTTTTTGGCCCACCCTGTATATAAACTTTTCTCTATATTGCTTTAGAAAACACATGAGACACTTATTTTGTTCCTTGTATCAAATGTTCGGAATGAAATGAAACTAATCACAATGTTAATGAAATATTGTATTTTATTTAGTTCACCTTATCATTACCGATCCTTTATAAAACCATGGACTTAAAATAATTAGAAGTCCATGCAAAACGATCTGGCCCCGGGGATCTGCCCAGCATTTTGGTTTCTCCAGTGACAGCGACAGAAACAATTTTCAAAGGTGATCCATCTTCTGTTCTACATTCACGCCTAACCATCGACAACGTACAGTGACAAAATATATCGTCGCACACTTTAGATGTACGGTGTCACTATTCTAACTGATATGAAGCAAAAACAATGATGTGTGTGTGGTGTAGGTTTTAAAAACTAATATAAGGAATTTATGTTTAATATCGTGTGTATTCGATTTGGAAGACATTTACCATGGGCTTTCAAATAGTTGAAAGCCCATGCATTTACCTTTCTAATTCCGTGAAAAGATTTTCGGGCAGTGCTCGAGCTTTTTCGTAGTAAATCTACCCATACCAACAATGATCGGTTGGAAAATGTTGGTTGTTACATAGTTACATAATTAAGGCTTAATAAGCAATATTCGAATTGGTTGTGACGTTATTGGCCCCCATGTGATCTCTCACTGGTCCCCACGTGGCCCGTTTTGGTCCATTATATCATGACGTCATAATGCCAAAATGTTTTTGTTATTTGTTTATACAACAATCCTATGGTTGCCGTGACGTTGTGATTACTATGGAACCAAAGCTAATATTTTGTATATGACGTTACTAATCACGTGGGGGCCAATTTGATTTATCAGTTAGTTTTATTTCGTTTTCTATGACCGTTAGCAGTTATCTAACATTTACTTTACAATGGCTAGACTCTATCGCAAGAACTCTACGGTGGGCTTACAATGGAGAAAACCGCATTTTTGTAGCTGAAGTTGAGAAAAGCTATTTCAGTTCATTGTCCTTTAAGGCATTGGCCCAACATTTTTTGGGGCCCAATCTTTTTTGGGCCAACCCAAGGGGGGGGCGGGCCCCCAGCAACCCCCCCACAGATCCGCCATCGCAACATACCACATTTGTATTACGAGGCATTGCGAAGTGCGAATGCGATCCCCTGCGTTTGGGCAATATCTGAGCCTTTCGTTCAGTGGAATCTTTACCTTGTAGTAAGAGTGAAAGTACGCAACGAACCAAGGAGGATTGGAAGCCAGGGTTCCAACTCGATATTCTTTAATCTCCACGCATGCGTCATTTGCTATTCGTGTCTGTATAATTTGTACGACTGCATGGAGAATGACCCGATACTCTCCAACAAAGCTATCGCTAGGTGATTGTTTTGCAGAATATCGGTGTTGCATTCTGGGAGCCAATCCTCCTTGCAACGAACGAAATGAATTTTGAGAATGGCATTTGATTGGCCCAGGGCATTGGGATTTCTCGGACCTCGTTTTGAAATGATGACGACATTGGGGTTGACATTTCGAAGAAATTAATAAATGTGGATCATAATGTACGTAAAACAGCTATAAAAGGAAACCCGAAGCGAAAATTGTTCATTGAGGGGACGAAGAGAAATACGAACTACAGGTAATACAGATTTACATTCTTCAAAGACCTCGATTCTATTTATAACGTCACGGACCTCTGCAAGATTAGATTTTCGACATCTAAAATGTCATTGTCACTCGACTTTTTGGCAATTAACCTCTTGAATCCCAGGTTCTAAAATAGGTTGAAACCAGATAATTTTTCATTTTTGCCACCTTTTGACATTTTACTACATACATATACAACGGACGATGTTCAATTCAGTAAAATTAGACGGCAGAGATCATTTCTAGACATTTTAAAACAATTTTTGTGTAAATTGGATAAAAATTGTTCAAATAAGAGCTATTTTGGTGAAATATTTTGTGACGGATTATCTCGTCACTCTGGGTTCCAAGGTCATTTCTGAGGTGACGAGAAATCTCGTCACTCTGGGTAGTCAAGAGGTTAAGGTCAGGGTCACGGATAGTGGGAAGTCCTCCATATATTACTTAAATTATATACACCAGGTAATGTTAGTAAAAATTAAAAAAATATGAAAAAAATATGGTCACCTGTCCTCTAGATTCAATTTTTGAAAGAATCGTAGCATAATGTACAGATTATTTGATATCATGCTATTCCAGTACTGTCAACCCCTAAAGATTTTCTCGCGGGACAGATTTTTTAGACCCAGTGCCCAAAATTCGCGGGATTTTGCGGGACATCTACTAAATTCGCGGGATTTCGCGGGACATTTAAGGGATTTGCGTGATTGCGCTAATAGGCCAATTTTTTTTATCAAATTCGCGGTATTTCGCGGGACCATTCGAGGGACAAACACCCTAATTGCGCTATAGTTAACAGGTTTACCACCCAAAACTTGATAGAGGGACAGATTTTTTAGACAAAGTGCCCTAAATTTGCGGGATTTCGCGGGACATTCACCTAAATTTGCAGGATGTCCCGGGACATTCAAGAATTTGCGTGATTGGGACTAATGTAAAAGCGTGTAAAAGTACTTAAATCAAACTTCCAGATACTGATTAATCAAATACAATGCACCGTTGCATTGTAACTTAAATAAACGTCAACACAATTTCACAAAATACATATAGGAATATTATTAAACTTTATTGTAATTTTTCAAAAGCAAAAACCATGCTTCAGGTGTGAGTACCGTAATCTAACATGAAATTCAAAAATTCGGAACAATACTTTGCACTTCTGGCGTCGTGAACAACTATGAAACGCTTACCCCCATAATGTTATATATTAAAATGTACCTATTCATGGAATTTTCTTTCAATTGAAAGCCCATGATATAGGGGTTCGATTAATCTACATCAAATTATAGGGAATGGGGTTACTTTTCTAGATAGGGTTTGTAGAAAAAACGGGTACCGGGTAGTAAATCCTCCATGCTGGGTTCAAACTTGGTACCCGGTCGAAAAAACCGGGTACCCAAAAAACGAAATATACGAATATACAACATAATTAGATCATTAGAAAACGTGTAAGATTTGTTTTGAATTTACAAAAATGTATGTAACTTCCTTCAAAATTGAGCTAGAAGCTTCAAATAAAAAGCATTTTAAGGCTCTTTTCGTCGTCTATCATCATATTTCCATTGGTAATGAAAGGGGGAGGGGGGGATGCGATCGCACCCCCTCCTGGCTACGCCAATGACATTGTAAGACGATTTGAAAAACAAGACAAATCAATCTTACTCTATTTTCAATAGTTCGTTTGTTGGTACGTGAATTGTTTTGATTATGATTTAAATCTGTAAATAGCTATCGTTGCTTTGGGAGGGAGGTGACGTGTTAATTTACATGATTTTGATTATAATCATAATTTAAGTTATCCCAATTTTCGACAAAATGCCCACTGAATTCAGGCCCGTAGCCAGGATTTGCCAAGGGGGGGGGGTTCATTTTTCAAAAATTTCCAGGGGGGGTTCACATTTGACAATTTTGGCCCAAATATGGCCAAAATCACTTGAGAAGTGCTCAAAATGGTGAAAAACTGCATGATTTTGAAAGAATTTTTGGCCAGGGGGGGGCCTGCGAACCCCCCCTGGCTACGGGCCTGGAATTGTAAATTGTTATGTCTTACAATGTCATAGGCGTAGCCAGATGGCGCGATGGTGCGATCGCACCCCCCCCCCATAACCGATGAAAATATGGCCATGACGATAGAGGAAGAAAAGAGCCTTAAATATACTTTTTATTTGAAGCTTCTAGCTCAATTTTGAAGGATGTTACATACATTTTTGTGAATTCAAAACAAATCTTACACGTTTTCTCATAATCTAATTATGTTATATATTCGTATTTTTCGTTTTTTGGGTACCCGTTTTTTGACTGGGTACCGGGTACCAAGTTTGAACCCAGCATGGAGGATTTACTACCCGGTACCCGGTTTTTCTACAATGCACCCTTTCTAGATATCAGCGTCCATTTATTGTAACTCGCGTTTGCTAACATTTGCTCAGTTCTGAGATGAAGGCCACACGGATAGTAAAAAGCCCAACGTTAGAACTATTTTTGACCTACATCCCTATTTTCGTAATTAAAATGAAAGTTGAACCCTTCCTCTTTATTTTGATACCAAACAACAGCATGCGAGGTACTTAAAATTAGGTAAACTTTACTCCTCAAAAGTGCAAAAACTTAGCTTCTTTTATAAGATAAGATAATCACAATATAGGGGATTGCAACAATTTCGGAAATTCGCGGAGGTCAAAAACCACATTTGCGGGACTTCGCGGGACATTGCGGGACACGCGAATTAGCCCAATTTTGATCAAATTCGCGGGATAATCCCGCCATTCGCGGGACACTTGACAGCTCTGCTATTCTTGAAACATTTATACGCAAAAATAACTGGGTCACTCACCTCTTATGCCTATATGTGTTCAGTAATCATCAATTCTCGTGAGTAAAATTTCTCCAGGCCATTGAAAGATCCGCTCAGTAAATTGACAATTTCTACTGCGGATGTGTCATAAAAACCCCGCGAAAATTTTTGGGAACACTATTGCGTTTTCTACCTTTTTTCTGGCATTTTTGGCATCATAAAGTAATTCTCGAAGAAGAGTTGTCTTAGCAGTTCCTGCTTGACCTACAATGCAAACATAATGACCTAAATCCTTGACATTTTCCCATGGTAAATTCACAAACTGAGCCATGTTTCCGGGTACCGTTGTGCGCATGCGCGCCTTCGCGTGATTTGCTTTATTCTCGCGAGATTAGGTGCTCCGTCCCCTTAAATTTTTATTTTGAACTACCATTATGATTTGGTGCATTATCTGACCAATAAAGCAGATTTGGAGGTACGAATATTTTTTTTATTTTTCTGTTTAGTGTTTTCTACAGGCCCTATGTGTCTCAGGATATTTGTTTAACGAAAACTAGACAAATAATTTATTTTAAAATCACATATTTTTTATTTTGGATGGAAGCTGCGTTACCTGGTGTATATAATATAAGTAATATATGGAGGACTTCCCACTATCCGTGGTCAGGGTGCATGATGTTACATGAAAAATATACATCCTGAAGCTGCTCTATTAGTTAGAGTATTATGTTCAATAAGTACTGATGAAATTGCTGAAACTTGTTTAATTTTTTATTCCTGACTAACCTTTCTACTGTATACATTGTTGAGTATTGTTCTGATGTACTGTGATAGTTACAAGAATTTACTCTAACAGGAAGGTGGTACTAGGTGGAGGCTAATGGGATTCATCGTGGTTCAGGTCTGCACAAATTATTTTTCAATATTTTCATACATAATTTTATTTTTGAATCCATTTTGACAGTTGGTAAATAAACATTGGTATTAAGATACCTTGGTAGCACCTATTGATGACATCAAAGAGCAAATTGTAAGGTGGAAATCACATCACAGAGCAATTCATAAGAATACAATTACATATCATGGTGCCCCATGATATCACAGAGCAATTTAAGATCAGATGACTTCATGGAGAAATTACATCACACGGACTCCGCAGAAATTAAGTCATCAGCAACATGACTGCTGAACAGAACATCAATTATATTTAGCATCAAATTAGAAGCAACACCAAGTTCTATATACATGTACTCATAGGGTTCATCTAAACAGGATACAATAAAGGACATCCATGAAGCTTATGGAAAGGACACTTAATATCTAACCCTGGCATATATCGTTTGTACCGCTATTTCAAAGAGGGATAAAGTCAGTTGAAGTTGAACCTAGACAGGGGTGGCCAAGAGCTGTAACTTCCCCAAGTCAGATTAATATAATAAAAGAAATATTGGATGAATTACAATCGGAAAAATTGCAGACATGACTGATTCAAGTATTGGTCGAACACACCATGTAACTCATAATGATTTAGAGATGACATTGATGTGTGACAAGTTGGTACATAAGCAATTGCCTGAGGAGCAATATTCACATTTTAATTTGGTCATTTTGAGACATTTTTCGTGCAGATCTGATACAGCACTAACCACCTTTGCCTCAACCCAGCACCAGCTTCCTGTCAGAGCACAGTCCGTAACTTTTACAGTACATCAATATAATACTCAACAATGCATACTAGAAAGATTAGTAAGATGTATGAAAAAATAAAAAAGTTAGAGCTTTTTTATCAGTACTTATTGAACACCCTGTATATGTAAAAATAGAAACATTTAGTATTATCATGGTGTTATAGCATGATGGTTACGCCACCTCTGAAAACGAGGTTGGGCGGCTATGTTCACTGATTTATCCAATAAAATGGCCGCGATGGAAGAGCATACTTTTTAGATAATAGAATCTTTTTGAGTCTTTTAAGAGCTCCTTAGATGGCCAACAATCTTGTTGTTGACCGAATGTTTTATGTCTGTATTTAATCCCATTAATACTTTGTAGATTGACTTTTGGGATATCAATGGTATTAGAGTTTAGAAGTTCAGATTCTACTCTGTATAAAAGACGGTTCCTTATAATTATCATTATACTGTTCACACTCAATAGGAAATGATGAATTGACTCATTCTTATTACAGTGGGGACATGTTGGTGTTGTATCCGTTGAGATTTTAGACATGTGATCATTCAGTTGGGACTGGGAGTGTCCACTTATTAACTGATTTATGAGGCAGTTTAATTTGCGATCCCCAGATTCATATGTACGACTCGAGCCAACTTTCTCAAATAGGTCAGCTATTTTATTTGTCTTGTTTGAGAGCTTAATCTGCTAATTCATTGCCTGCTACCCCCAAATGGCCAGGGACCCAATGAGCTGTGATATTTGCATCTGATTTTTTTAACTTCATTACTTATTGAAAAAAGATGAGTGTAATGCTGTTTGACAATCACAAAAAATATGGATAAACTCTGAACATCTATTTTCCACAAGAAATTTCAGTGCGCGACCCCAGAGTTCTTGACTTACTAATAAAGATGGGATTACAATCTAGACCTTGAGTATATACGGCTATACCTGCCCCTGTACACAGGCAAATTACATCGGACCCCGTACAACCCTGTACGGAGCTCGTCGAGTCAAAGGGCCCTGTACAACCTCGTACGGGATTCGTTACGAGTCTCGTAATTTTCGACCCCTGTACTTGACCGTACGGTGCCCGTAACCAGCCCCATAATAAATCTTTATTTTCGATCCCTGTACTTGCTCGTACAGTGCCTGTTATGAGGCCCGTAATAGCTGGTAATTTTCGAGCCTTGTACTTGCCCGTGTGATGCCCGTAACAAGGCCATAAATGCTCGTAATTTTCAAGCACTGTACTTGCCCATACGGGGCTCGTAACGAGGCTTGTAATTGCTCGTTTATTTTGATGAACACTCGATGATGGTCGATGAAATAAAATACAGCATACTTGAGAAATGACATTTCAATTATATCTAATTATGAATTATATGTCTTCCATAATTTCAAAATATTTGCATGTCTGTATCAACATGATGAACAGTATAAAAGCTAGGAAACAAAATAAACAGGGTTACCAATGGAAGACACCATATGTCTCTACAAGAGAAGTAAATCCATATAAAAACATTTGCGTGTGGTAAAAGAATAAGTTGAAATGTAATGTAAATAAATGTTATTGTTGTCGAATAAAAACACCGCTCTGAAATAATAAATCATTACAACATGTTCTGGATAGATACGTGAATCATGTAGCAAGACATGAAATTAGGACCCTCATACATGCTCGTACGGACCTCGAAAACAACAATTACAAGCATCGTATGAGCTTGCACGGGCCTCGAAAATGAGCTTCGTACGAGCCTGTACGAGGATGGTGCTCCTTTTTGTCCGTAATAACTCGTAATTCTCGAGGCTTGTACAAGCTCGTACGGGGTCCGATGTAATTTGCCTGTGTAGGTCCGGGGTTACCTAGTGACGATTCATCGGTGAAAACCACTGTGCAGTCTTTGTTTACCCTACTATCACACCAAACTAGTTCTCACTACGTTCTCGAAAACAGGCTTCAACTGTGTACGAACGGATTGGACGTACTTACCGTTTGGGGTCTATTTACAAACTTCATCGAACATACTCGAACAGGTAGGTCCTCTAGACCTTAGAACATGCTCAAAATGTTCTCTTGGTCGTCACGAGCTGGACATACTACGAATGGAACCATCGTACTTCAATCATACTAGGGACATGTTTACAACGAGTTGAACTGTCTGAGGACGTATTGAGAACGAGGTAGAACTAATTGCAAACGGGTTAAAACTGATTAAGAACGTATTTATCAATGAGTTAACAAAAATATAGCTATCACACCAAGCAAGTTGCCACTGCGTTCTTCAAAACTGGTTTTATTTTAAACTGTGGGCGAACGGAATGAACGTAGCTACAACGTTCTACGGTCTGTTTACAAACTTCATGGACTTTCCCGGATGGGGAATGTGATTTAGAATTTTGAATCGATTCAAAATTCGATGGCGACCATACCGTTCTGTAATCAGGTCATGATGACCTTCTAGACTAAGGGACGCGTTGTCAGATGTTGCACACCGACATGGTGCGACCTGAATGAACTGCGAATGAGATGGACGTATTGAAGACTGTATATGGACAAAGTAGCTAATTATTTTAGACATATTTCCCGACCACAGCCAGATTGAGCCCATTTTACGACGTTTTCGTAGGACTAGCAAGAATGGGTAAAAGCTAGTTTGGTGTGATAGGGGGGGGGGTTAATTTCAGCAATTAAGCCTTTCGTGGTTGGCTCTTTAATTTAGAAGGTACGAAAATATGTTGTTAAAAAGCCCTCAAAAAGGACAAAATTTTATTGGTCAATATTTTTCAACAATACATTTTGCGTAGCTATTTGCGCGACCCGAAAGTTCTAAATCAAACTTATTACGCAATTTTGTTTTTACACCCGCACGCTAAATAAAACAATGACACCATCAGAAGTATCGTTCTTTGTCATTGCTCAATGGTCAGTATACCAAATATAATCAAGAAAAGCTTGTACAATGAACAATAAAATTCAGAATCGAGTACTATAGATTTGCTTTCAGACACTGAACCGATTGACCTAGATAATAGTTAAGGTCAGAACTTATGTTCGCGTTGGTGGAAGTCTAGGAGGTCTGGTATAGGGTGTTAATGCTTTGTCATTTACAATATGTTTGGAAGAAGGATTAAGAATTGCCACATCATCTATTTAAAAGATGTCATTACAGGGTGTCCATCTTCAGTGTATGTACTATTGTCTTTTACAGCCAAAGGGAAAAATGAGTGACATTGATGAAGACCATTATGAAAAAACAATGGAGGAGAGTAATCATGGCAACCTACTTCTTGGTAAAATTATGGAACTTCAGTTGGCTGATGAGATGTGTGATTGTACACTGAATGTAGATGGTGCACAAATAAAGGTAAATATTTATTATTCAACAGAACAGTGCTTTCATTAACACTGTCCAAAATTACAAAAAATTGATAGACTCGAAAAGAGAAAATCACTGCGTCCAGTAGACGCAATGCAAGTCATATCTAAAAATTCAATTTTGGATGAAAGTATTGATAAAGATCCTACCTCCAGTCTCTTTATTATGTCAAAATCCGCTAATTTTAAACGAATGATATTCTATTGCTAAAAGTATTAAATTTCCTTTTAAGTTTGCTTCCTGGAAGTTGATTTCCGATCAAAATAGATACAAACTTTTCATCAATTTTACTTCGTCTCATGTTAAATCTGACTTTGAATCACAGGAACCATTTATTACAGGACGCAATTTTTAAGGGGGATACACTTTTGGAAAATCTTAAAAACTGGAAATGTATGATACGGTAATGGCCATGTCAGTTTTCAATACGTGATAACTGGACTTCTTAGCTCTCCATTATAAACTCTCATAACGTTACCATATCATCGCATATCAGTTATCTTAATAAAACCAAAATCCCAGTTACCTTTCCTTATAAGCTTTGGAAGATATCATTGGCTGAAAAATGGCTGAAAGTTTAAGTTTTGCTCCCATTATGTCAACTCATGGGCTTTCAATAGATAACATATTTTAATTCGGGAACGAACGAAATGTGTTATTCTACAGAAATATTTTTTGCTTGACATCAGGTAAAATGCCTTATAATTTGTCACGCAAAAAAGCTGACGTGACTTCCAATTTCTTCAGCAAATGTGTGACAAATACGCAAATAGGGGGAGAGTTGGACGGCCTTCCATTGCTATATGGGAGTATGAACTCTGCTCAAAAGCTGATTGTGAAAATGGTTGCCATTTTTGTGTCAATTTTACAGTATTTTTGGTAACCACAACATATGAAACTGCACTGGCATAGCGTCATATACGCAAAAAACTCTCAAATTTTTGTAAAATTGTTGAATATTGATATTGATCGGTATTTTAAAATGAAGAGTTGCATGTGTAATAGTGCTGCAAGTGGCATCAAATTTCAATACTGGTATTACGTACACCTGGTTTCATACCGGTAGTGTCGGTAGTGCCCCTAAAAGTAAAAAAAAATGTAATTGGTTATGTTGAAAACCTTTTATCTTTACCTTTTATTCTAATTCTGACACTATTTTGACCATCTTTATGTGCCTTGTGTTCAGCCTATCATAGTTATTTATTTTAATTTTAAGTCTCATTTATCAACTCAAAATAGTTCTATGGTAAAACTTAATGGTTTAACATACAAATAAAGAATCATTGATAATTGTGCAAACAAATTAATGCATTTTAATACATCTTTAGTTTCTTTTCAAATTCATTTGGTATGCACGGGCGTACTGTGCGTAGCAGGTGCAACTCCCATCATCAGCAATGCGCATGATCAGTACACTCATATTGTGACCAATTTAATATTGAGCAATCACAGGACCCCTATTTTAAGTCACATCCGGTTCAGTTTTTACAAAATTAGAAATGACAGGCCAATCTCTAGTCAATACTGATTGACTATTGGCCAAAAACTTGGGATTATAGCAGTATCCATTGAGGTTCAACAATGCAACTTATACTACTGACTTCTTCATTTTACTGGATATTCATTAATTTATAACAAGTTTGTCAAAAAATGTTATCAGTATATGGAAGTTGTGGCATCAGAGCAATGTCTCTGCCATAGTGTCTGCCAAATCAATTAGCCACCGCGATGAATAGCCATCAATATTCTTGTAATGGAAGATGTATGATAAGAGTAGAAGAATATGATAAGTATTCTTGAAAATCAAGCACATTTAATCAGGAAGACCATTCAAGAAATAGCAACAGAATACTAATCTTAATATAAGTTCATCAAGGAAGGGAAACTCAAAAATATGTCACTTATTTATTATTGAAGTTTAGTTTGGATCAAAATAGATTTAAGAATACAATGTATGTAATGTACAAAAAATGTACGTTATGTTGATAGCCTGTGAAGATATTTCGTGATTTAATATTAAAGTTCTGTGCGTAACACATAATTTCCCAGTCCGTGTACATTTGCGTTGGTATTATGGCAATCGGTATAACGCCTTCCAGTGCAATGCTCGTCGGTTTAATGGGTTTTGGTATAATGCGCATCGGTATAATGGGTTTCGGTATAATGTGCGGACCCCCATACATACATGCAAACATGACATATTACTTTTCACAATTTATCCATTATGGTGGCAAAAGAAATGATGACTAGTTGTATTTTCTGACACTAAAATGATTGATGGGATTTGATGCCTTGCCATTGTCATTATCAAGTTAAAAGATAATTTTTATGTCACCACCAAAAAGTGGTGACATATTGTTATGGTCTCCGTTTTTTTGGCGACGGCGGTTGGTGGTTGGCGTCCGGCGTCTGGCGTCCGGCGTCTGTAACAATTTCTTACAACTTCCTATAACTTAACAAATACTGTTTAGACTGACTTCAATTTTTTTCTAAATCATCTACATCTTCTCAGAAGTTCAAATCTGACTTTAGATTTGACATTTGACCTTCAATGACCTTCTCAAGGTCAAAAAGGTCTTTTTTCAACTTGCTTCACATTGACTAAATTTTTTTTCAAAATCATCTACATGTTCTCAGAAATTCAAATCTGACTTTAGATTTGACATTTGACCTTCAAATCTGACTTTGGATTTGACATTTGACCTTCAATGACCTTCTCAAGGTCAAAAAGGTCTTTTTTCAACTTGCTTCACATTGACCAAATTTTTTTTCAAAATCATCTACATGTTCTCAGAAATTCAAATCTGACTTTAGATTTGACATTTGACCTTCAAATCTGACTTTAGATTTGACATTTGACCTTCAATGACCTTCTCAAGGTCAAAAAAGGTCAAAAAGGTCTGTTTTCAACTTGCTTCAAATTGACTAAATTTTTTTTTCAAAATCATCTACGTGTTCTCAGAAATTCAAATCTGACTTAAGATTTGACATTTGACCTTCAATGACCTTCTCAAGGTCAAAAAGGTCTTTTTTCAACTTGCTTCACATTGACTAAATTTTTTTTCAAAATCATCTACATGTTCTCAGAAATTCAAATCTGACTTTAGATTTGACATTTGACCTTCAAATCTGACTTTAGATTTGACATTTGACCTTCAATGACCTTCTCAAGGTCAAAAAAGGTCAAAAAGGTCTGTTTTCAACTTGCTTCAAATTGACTAAATTTTTTTTTCAAAATCATCTACGTGTTCTCAGAAATTCAAATCTGACTTAAAATTTGACATTTGACCTTCAATGACCTTCTCAAGGTCAAAAAAGGTCAAAAAGGTCTGTTTTCAACTTGCTTCAAATTGACAAAAAAAAAATTTCAAAATCATCTACGTGTTCTCAGAAATTCAAATCTGACTTTAGATTTGACTTAAGATTTGACATTTGACCTTCAATGACCTTCTCAAAGTCAAAAAAGGTCAAAAAGGTCTTTTTTCAACTTGTTCAAATTGACTAAATTTTTTTTTCAAAATCATCTACATGTTCTCAGAAATTCAAATCTGACTTTTGATTTAACATTTGACCTTCAATGACCTTCTCAATGTCAAAAAAGGTCAAAAAGGTATTTTTTCATCTTGCTTCAAATTGACTAATTTTTTTTTTCAAAATCATCTACGTGTTCTCAGAAATTCAAATCTGACTTTAGATTTGGCTTAAGATTTGACATTTGACCTTCAATGACCTTCTCAAAGTCAAAAAAGGTCAAAAAGGTCTTTTTTCAACTTGCTTCAAATTGACTAAATTTTTTTTTCAAAATCATCTACATGTTCTCAGAAATTTAAATATGACTTTAGATTTGACTTTAGATTTGACATTTGACCTTCTCAAGGTCAAAAAAGGTCAAAAAGGTCTTTTTTCAACTTGCTTCAAATTGACTAATTTTTTTTCAAAATCATCTACATGTTCTCAGAAATTTAAATCTGACTTTAGATTTGACATTTGACCTTTAATGACCTTCTCAAGGTCAAAAAAGGTCTGTTTTCAACTTGCTTCAAATTGACCAAATTTTTTTTTTCAAAATCATCTACATCTTTTCAGAAGTTCAAATTTGACTTTACAAGTTCTCAGAAGTTCAAATCTGACTTTAGATTTGACCTTTGACCTTCAATGACCTTCTCAAGGTCAAAAAGGTCTTTTTTCAACTTGCTTCAAATTGACTAATTTTTTTTTCAAAATCATCTCCATGTTCTCAGAAGTTCTTAAGGTCAAAAGGTATTTTCCAACTTGCTTTAAATTGACCAAATTGTTTTAGGTGGTGACATTTTGTCATGTTAATGCCTTGTTTAATGTTATTTTTCAGGTGCACAAAGTTATGCTTGTTGCCACAAGTGATTTCTTCCGTGCCATGTTCCTTTCCCCAATGCAAGAGAGATGTCAGGATGTGGTGGAACTGAAAGGGTTAAGTCCCACTGGAGTCAGGGATATTGTAACATTTATATACACTGGAAAGTTAGCAATTGACCTTGAGAATTTAAACCGTATCGTCCACACAGCATCCTTTCTACAGGTCAACAGTGCTTTGAATTTGTGCTCAGAGTATATTAACTCTTTACTGACCTTTGACACTGCAGATGATCTTCTCCCATTGGCTAAAGATTACTCATTGAATGATGTCATTGATAAATTCAATCAGGTGATTTTAGATGATTTTGAAACATTTTGCGAAACAGAAAATTTTCTTGAGTTGACAATGGAACAGTTGCTGGAGTATTTAGACTCAGATAAACTGGACATTAAGTCAGAGTTCGTCCTGTTTCAGGGTGTTGAAAAGTGGCTGAATTATGACACAAGTCGCTGCCGCAATAATATGATCGAGATTTATAAACATATACGATTCTCATTGATGTCTGAAGTGGAGTTGGATCAAGTTAGTGCTGCCACCTATACCATTTGCTCAACACTGGATATTCCAATTGAACAAATCCGACCTGAGATTGATAAAGGTCAGCGTTACCATAGTGATCGTATCATGTCCCATCCCATAATAACATCCAATATGTCACCCCGTACAACCAAAGAGAGCCTAGCATTGTTACATCAGGGTAACACATACACTAACTCAACAATTGAAATCATAAGTCCCCCTGACCTGGAAATAAAACCAGCTGTAAGTGACACAATTCTTTCAATGATTTGTCGGGAGCTACGTGCCACAGTTCTCGACAATTTCATATTCATCACAGCTCTAGTGGATCATGGTGGAGGGTCGCTAATTGGGAAACTGTTCCGCTACGATCCTCGTCATAATGATATTGAAGAGCTTGAGTGGAAATACAGGTCAAGAATGAGCAAGTCATTTGTTGGCCATGGTGGAATATTGTACCTTCTCGGAGGTCTTAATCAGGCTACATCAATGCCATTAGATATTTGTGAGACTTATAATTTAAGAACGCAGCAATCGTTTGAAATGTCTCCTCTTCCCCATCCTGTACATTTACATGCAGCTTTAGTGTTTAAGGATAAAATATACATTACTGGAGGTGTTACACAACCAGGCCATGTTATCAATACAGCATATGTTTATGACATTAAAATAAGCAAATGGACAGAAATTGCTCCATTAAATTGTGCCCGTCGATTGCACTGTATGCTTCAATCTGGAGGTCAGATCATGGTTTTGGGTGGTATTTCACATGGAGGTGTGCATGACCAGAGATTGATGCCTATAGAGGTTTATGATCCACATTTGAACATATGGACAGAGATGGAACCTCATTGCAGTACTTTACCTGCTAACTCTGTAGGACACTTTAGTTTTGTGAATGATAAACTCTATTGCATAGGGCGTCAGTGCCCTAAATCTGAAGAGTGCGATTTCTGGCAATTAGACCCAGACAAAGGCTGGACTCTGGTTGGTCATCTGTATCACTCTTGTAGCAATGGTAAAAAAAATATATACAGGAGCAGTGTAGCAGCATATTTATTGCCAATTAAATTGGACATGAATGTTTTAAACCATAAAAATGATTAAAACATTATTTTTTAAATTAGTACAAGGCTCATACGTACGTTTTATGTGCAAAGTGCATTGTGTCCATGTGTGAATGCAGTGTTGGTATGTGTATATAGTATGCCCGGTTTGTTTGTGTGTTTTATGTACTCTCTTCAGGTCATTGGGAAGCCCAACTACGCTAGGCTGCTGAAATATTTTCACTCTTACGTAACATAGCCTAGCTCTATCCTAATTATATAACAGGATATCTCACATTAGTTCTACAAGTAGAATTCAATGTACTGCCTTCTTTATTATTCTGATCTTTCTATGCAATTCATCTCCATTTGATATTATGATAAATTAAGCATCAGCCATCGCGCATGCACTAGCATTAGCCAATAGTGGTAGTTGCAAACAATAACAAGTCCATGTGCTCGTCACACGATCTAAGTGATCAGATCATGATCCGATCTTCTGCCATGGATGTTAGATAGAGAATTGAAATGAAGTCTTATTGCATGAGCAAGGAACTCATGGATGTTAGATAGAGAATGTAAATGAAGTCTTATTGCATGAGCAAGGAACTCATGGATGTTAGATAGAGAATTGAAATGAAGTCTTATTGCATGAGCAAGGAACTCATGGATGTTAAGATAGAGATTGGAAATGAAATCTGATTGCAAGAGCAAGGAACTCATGGGTGCTAGATAGAGAATGGAAATGAAGTCTTATTGCAAGAGCAAGGAACTCATGGGTGCTAGATAGAGAATGGAAATGAAGTCTTATTGCATGAGCAAGGAACTCATGGATGTTAGATAGAGAATGGAAATGAAGCCTGATTGCAAGAGCAAGGAACTCATGTGTGCTAGATAGAGAATGGAAATGAAGCCTGATTGCAAGAGCAAGGAACTCATGGGTGCTAGATAGAGAATGGAAATGAAGCCTGATTGCAAGAGCAAGGAACTCATGGGTCTAGATAGAGAATTGAAATAAAGTCTGATTGCAAGAGCAAGGAACTCATGGATGTTAGATAGAGAATGGAAATAAAGTCTGATTGCAAGAGCAAGGAACTCATGGATGTTAGATAGAGAATGGAAATAAAGTCTTATTGCATGAGCAAGGAACTCATGGATGTTAGATAGAGATTGAAAAATGAAGTCTGATTGCAAGAGCAAGGAACTCATGGATGTTAGATTGTAGATAGAGAATGGAAATGAAGTCTGATTGCATGAGCAAGTAACTCATAGGTGTTAGATATTGTATATTAGCAAGAGAAAGGAGAAATCAGTCCTGAAATAAAATGTACAGACTTGACACTTATATTTAGAATATATGACTTGAAATGGATAATGAAAATATGATTTAATGATTACGTTTTGATATCTTTATATGTGTTTAAACTATATGTACATATCTAGGCAAGGTGTGTCCAATTCCAAGGAAATCTGAACAAAGTATTTCATGTAACTCCCAACTGCATTATATAACCAACTATGCATGCAAGGTCATTCTTAATCTGGTTGTTGAGATGACAATTCAGCTCTCCAGATTGAAATTGATGCTTTGCCAGCTTGACCCTTGCAAAAAGTTTCATTGGAAATATGTTATTTAGAAAACGTCAAAATATGATAAATCTCTGTGCTGCTATAAACTATGGTTGTCTTGTCCAGTTGACTCACTGACAACTTCCTCAATCACAGTCCCAAAATCATGGACTCGATCTGTACAAGCTCCTTGGCCTACTGTCTCAAGTTGGCCTAGTACGGCCTATGATACCCATGTCCTAATTTCAAAAACATTGGCCAGTCAGGCTCAGTAACTGCGTCAACATTTCGAAAATAAAAATCTCAAAGATTTTACATCATTAATTTCCAAAATATTTTCATTAAGATGATAACACATTTTGTATCAGAAAATGTTTCAAATTTTCAAAGCTCCTATCATTTAAAGGAATATATTGGACACATTGTCTGATGAATTCAAAATATTCTGTTAAGTGACCTTTCCGAAAGTACAACTCTTAATTATTTTCCAGTCACAATTTCAGAGGGCTGAAAAAGCTATTTCATCATGTTTAGGGTCATTCTGTCCACACCCATTGTTATCATGGTCATGTAAATGATATTTGGATGTAGTAAGACTGGGGGTCAAAACAGAACTCTGTTTCAAAAGTTTCAAAAATCCAGCATGTTTATGTCACTTTTTGTTTTGCAATTTCATGACTAAGTATGATAGTGAGACATGAATTATGCATTTTGACGAATGTTTTGACGCAGTTACCGAGCCTGACTGTGGAGCAACCTTTTAATTAACAATATCGGGCGTAGAAACTACCCAGACGTCTTCTCGTTCAAACAATTGAATGTTTATGTATCTTCAAAACTTATATTTCTTGACATTGAATCATTGATCTCTACCATTCTTTTTCCTTTCATTCTTTATCACAGATCATTTCAAATATGCTCATATTATTTTGTTATAAGATTAATGTGGGACACTATATTCATTCATTCAAAAAGGTTATTAAGATCTATTTCTCCAGAGCTATGATGCATTGTGGGGTTGACCCAATAATTGATCATGAGACTGCTGAATAAAGATGATTCTCGGGATAAGTTTAATCTTTCTCAATCCATCTACATTGTACATCCTTCTTCAAAGGACTTCATTTATGCTTAAATATATTAAAATAGTATATATTCTTGCTGCAAGGATTTTCCATCTACAGATAAGAAGAATGTAGCCGTATTGAAACAGAAAAAGTGCTAAGTGGATACAGAATGTTCTGGTCAATTGATATGCCGTTGAACATGTCGGCCACTGTGGAGTGCTATGGATTCAATACACAAAATAGTATGCAACAGTGATAACATGATGGAATATTCACACATAATTACGCAAGATGTGTCCAATTTCAACCAATCAGAACACGATATTTCACGTAACTGCATTCCGTTATGTAACAAATAACGAACTCACGGTCACTAGTTAAACGGCCGTCGTGGTGATGATTGAACTATTCAGATTGGAATTGGTACTTTGCCAGCTTGAGCCTTGCAAAAAGTTTCATTGAAAATTTGTTCATTTAGTGATTTTGTATCTTTTAGATGATTTTGTAGAAAATATTTATGTGTGAAAAGAATTTAAGCCCAAGACCACACCTGGTGATTGGACAGAATGAACGGAGGGGAGAGGCGGTGATTTCTGCAAGATTATATTTTTCGGAGAATTTTCTGAGGCACAAATCAGAAAAACGATACCCTATTTGTGATATACTCTAAAATTCCTTCAATTTGAGTATAAAACAGGGCGTATCAAAAAAACACAACAAGTAGTTATCTCGTAAAATCACAAAACTTGTGATGACTACATAAATTTCATTTAAAGTACCATAAAGCCATGTCTCTCCTCTTTGCAATGATATGTCATTCATTCACATGTGGTAATGGTTGGGTGAGAAATCTTTCCATTTGCACAGTGGGTCAAAATCAGCTCTGCGCCAAGTTTTAGATATTGAAAAAATCAGTGCAATGGCTAAGTGCCAATGGAAGTTCCCCTGACTTGAATTGTTGTGACTTTTTCTTTTGGAGCTATCTCAGGAGCATCTGTGCTCACAATTCCTCCACCAGATATTGCAAAACCTCGAGAAAGATTTGCCCATGGGCTGCTTTTCTTTGCTTTAACCCACAGATGATTCAGGGCTGAACAATGCATGACATGGACAGATGAGCGCATCTTTATGTGCCGTTCACGTCATGTGCCTTGTTACGTTTTTCTACTATCTCAGAGTAGTAGAGCGATTTTGTTCAGAATTGATATTTTGGGGAGTAGGCGACCATTTTGAAAAATGGCCCTCAAAAAGTAATGGAGCGATTTTGCGATGTCCGACTTTGTCCCTTTGTCCGTTTTGTCCCAACTTGTCCGCTCTTGTCCCCCAGACATTATGGGACATTATTGGACAATGTCCCACGTTGTCCCATTTTGTCCGATGATGTCTTGAATATAGCGCCATTTTGTCAGCAAATGGTCATATGATCATCACGTAATGAAATGCCCCTCATTTGTCCGGTAAAGCTAGCCGTACACCAATGGGACTTGATGGGACATCAAGGAAGTTTTTGAGAAAAAGATTTTCATGGGACATGAAAGGACAAGTTCAAGCATTCCCATGGACATTGTCATACGTTGTCCAAAGTTGTCCCAAGTTGTCCACGGGACATTGTCCGACGTTGTCCGATTTTGTCCCTTTGTGTCCCAAGAAAAGAATGAACATTTTGAGGGACATCACCGGACAAATGAGGGACATTTCACCAGGTGATGATCATATGACCATTTCCTGACAAAATGGCGCTATATTCCAGACATCATCGAACAAAATGGGACAACGTGCGACATTGTCCCAAGATGTCCGGGGGACAAGAGCGGAGAAGTTGGGACAAAACTGACAAAGGGACAATGTCCCATCAACATGTTCAATCTTTTCTTGGGACATAAAGGGACAAAATCGGACAATGACCCGGGGACAACTTGGGACAATGTCCCCTGATGTCCAAGGATGCCACATGGGATTGTCCGAACTTGTCCCTTCATGTCCCATGAAAATATTTTACTCAATAACTCCCTTGATGTTCCATTGGTGTACGGCTAGCTTTATTTTACTATATTGACCTGAGCAATATGTGACGTCAAAGTGCCGGGCCGTAGTAGCGGGCCAATAGGGAGTTTAAGCTTACATATACTAGAGAGGTTAAGCTACACGTTCAAATGCAAACCGTGAACCTGAACGCGTAAGTCCACGCTCAAGTACACGTTTGAGAAACAATATTTTGTTTTTATTTTTTATTTATTTCTTTTTCAACCACAATTACTTTAGTATCACCTTTTGCTCATATCAAGGGCGCACGTAATACAGAGAAAATGCCTCGTTCGCAAATTAATTGGTTTGATAAGGCAATCGTAGGCCCTGGTTGTCATTTCATTTCGTTTAGTACACATATTGTATTAAGCCCCGGGTATCAAATTAGCCCTGCATATTTATATTGTACGGAATGAAACAAAACGATCACATTTGAAGTTGTCATTTACCCATTAAAATGTATTCTCATTTCCAATTAAGTATTGGGATTTGCCAATATAACAAGCAAGATTATCTGTATCAAATATGGGCTCCTGGGCCATCCTAGAACATAGCTAAAACCAATCACGTAATGAGCGACGTGTAATCGCTCATCTACACGTAAAAACCTCACGCTTACCTGTAGAAAGTAGATTAATCTGACGTCTATCCCGCGCGCGCATAGAAGTACACGTTCATGCTTTGTTGAATACGCGTCTGTAAATTGCACGAGTATGATAATCTCATGTAAAAATCTGACGTCATTTATCTGCGCGCGCATTGAAGTTCACGTTCAAGTTTTGTTAAATACGTGTAGCTTAACCTCTCTACTATCGAAACGCCAACCTATACGTATGACCAATCGCCCTTACAAATGCATCGCTTAAATGTTTTTCGTTCACGTTTAGGTTGTGAAAAACATTGCAAGCTTAAACTCCCTAATATCTATATTTCAGCCCGCCAGTGGCAGTCCGTCCTTGCTATTTCAGCCCTGGGCATAAACGGTGGTAATTATACTAATAACGTCATTTGTTCGGGCGAAATAGTGAAATATTGGCCCTTGGTCCAATATTTCACTCTATTGCCCTTTGAAATGAAGTTATTTTACTAATAATCACAGGATAAAATTTTAATAAAAACATTTATTTCATTTCTGAATGTATATGATACAGTAAAATAGCAATATATCAGAAAATAAGAATTAATGTTAATTAATTTGGTTAATATTGTTACACTGAATTTTTGTACTGTACATGTAGCAGCAACATAGATTCCTTATATACAGGGTGACACAAAAAATGCCCGCCACTAATTTAGAATTACTTTCTTAATAATGAAGGAATCTTCATGATTATGTTTGTGTAGTTAGAGTTCAATGGATAAAAGATTGTTGTACTTGCATTTTTGTCCACGTATGCTGTCTGTGAAAATGTCAAAGATATAATTTTCTGAAATTGGAATTTCTGTTTTAGCCTAGATGGCTTTCACATATAGTTTCATTAATATGTCATTTTTCTTCAATAATTTTGTCAAATGTAATGAACTGACTCGCTTATTGGGTAAATTTCAAAAAAGAATTTACATTTTTTTTAGTGATTTTGTGTCAGAGCATGTCTATCTCCGCGGAAGATTTGATATCTCCATTTCAAAGTTCTCGATGTTATGCAACATACCAATCTCTCTAGTTCCATTGAACAACCAATCTACACATAAAATAATCATGAAGATTCCTTAATTATTGAGAAAGTCATTCCAAAATTAGTGAATTGCATTTTTGTGTCACCTTGTAGGTGTGCAATACTATAATATTGCTACTCGTTATAAAAGTGTGAAGTATAGTGTACGTAAAAATTATGGATTTATTGACACTTTTTTGTCATTCATCACATCGTTATATCTATAAATGATTATACCATTTGAAAAAAGTTTTGTTTGGACAAACTACTTGATCATACTTGTCTTCAAACTACATGCGTATTTTCATGTGATGGTGCTTAAATAGAATTGTATTTATTGTCTCCATGAAGTGAACCGACCAACTCCATTCGGGAATAGTACGCTAAAAAAACTCGTTTTAAAGTAACTCTCTTTTATTTAGATAATTAAAATCTTTGGATCAACAGGATAACACAAAAATAGAATAGATCTTAAGAATATCTTTGTCACAAATGTTATAGTACTGAGATTTATAAGATTTTCTTTGCTTACATATATAACATGTATTCAATTTCTTGATTGAACTGTATATTTTCTAAAAATTCAATGAAATAGATAATTGACCTCTGAACTTCCTTTGCAACGTGTGAAAAGAATTAAGCACATGCCTCAATTTGAATTGTCGATGATTTAACCCACTCATGCCGTGTTTCCTAGACTTTTAATTCGTACTGGCATACTCATTCAAGAAATTAAATACTTGTTCAATCATCCTACAATTTCTTTGAGTCTTGTGCTTTTCTTTTATTATTGGAATGTTAAAAGCGTGAGCGTACACATAATGCACAAGAGTTTGAGGCTCCAAAGCAAAGTTAATGTAACATTCACAATGATTCTGTACTGAGCTAATTCTATTAATCATCTTAATTATATTATTGCATTACATGGGTTACACTTATTAATGGTACATTTTAAGTTTGACCCAATTTTGCCATTTGATCTTCTTTCAAAATGACCACCAAATTATGAGGAAAATGATAAAAGTCAAAGAAAGTTTTCCAAAATGATATCTTCCTGCAGACCAAATAATTGTTGACTTATTATTGAAGGAATTGGCATCAAGAAATCACAATGTGAGCCCATTGAATGATACCACTTATGTTGATATATTTTAAAGAAATCACCATGTGAGCCCATTGAATGATACCACTTTTGTTGATATATTTTGAAGAAATCACCATGTGAGACCATTGAATGATATCGCCAATGTTGATATATTTTGAAATAATCACCATGTGAGCCCATTGAATGATACCACTTATGTTGATATATTTTGAAGAAATCACCATGTGAGCCCATTGAATGATATCGCCAATGTTGATATATTTTGAAATAGTCACCATGTGAGCCCATTGAATGATACCACCTATATTGATATATTTTGAAGAAATTACCATGTGAGCCCATTGAATGATACCGCCTAACGCTTTGTTCAGCCTTTTGTAATTAGAATCCTCATACAAACTCCATATGCAAAATTAAAGCCATGTCATTCTAGGACATCATTACATGGAATAAATCGCACCGAATAAAACCACCTGGGGTGGTCATACACGTATTGTGAATTTAGGAAAATTATGGGACACATCTTCCAGAATAATGCTTTCCTGGATATACTTGGCACACTTATAAATACATATTAACAGTGGTGCTGATGAGTAAATTCATGCAATCAGCATTATAAATATTTTTAAAGGGGACAGAAATGAAAGTGTGTTTTGGACCACCCTGTATAATTCTACAACATGTGACGTATTTTGGGGTACACTATGAATTTTAACATCATAAAATAATGCATTCGTTGTAAGTAGGTATTATATACCGTGATATATCCATATACATATTGTCACAAACAAATTTTCTGAGCAAGTATCTTAATTATATACAAACAATCTAAACTAAGGCTGTATTAACTGTCCGGTCTATTTTATAAGAAACAATTTAGACTTCTCATCGTCGCCTGAGAATTATTCTATTCTAACTCCAATTTCAGATTTTGCAGGAAATGATTTTTGATTGATAGATTTTTAAACCTAGTTCGGTCCATCTGTCCGTTAGTCCCTCAACATTGGTGGTACACATTGAAACTATTATTCGCATGCATGTAACTCACTTAAAAACTATAACTTATAAATCTACCGAAATGAAAGCAATAGTCAACTGGCCTACTCAGTTTGTGTAAAACTTAAATACCCATAGCCGACAAGTAAAATCGGTTCCAATAATCGAGATTTTAAAAAGTTATGACAACTTTTCTGTTTTTACGTTTTGGCGAATGTATTCAAATGAGTTTACTTGGCTAAAGTCAGCATTTTTACTGAAATGATCAGTTATATTCCGTAGAACAAATCCAGTGCCATAGAATGTTCACTTGGAAGGGACCGAAACGGATCCTTAACAACTTTGAAAACTCCATGCCACTGTGTTAAACCGAGTGTGCGAAGATGTGTAAGAGCAACTTAAAGGTTAAAATGTGATCTTTGGAAACAAGTTCTGATATTTCAATAAGAATAGACGCTCGGGAGTTGACCGACCATTTATCAAGTATTTGATGATAGATTAATACTATATTGTAATTAAGTTAATGCATTTCACTTCTTCTTCAAAATGTCAAAACTGTTTTTCACAATTATGCTGATGAAGAGACCAACACTCATTTATTGTAAAAAACTCTTTTGGTGATGGTGCTTTGTGAAATAAGTTGGAATTATAAATTCAGTTTTCACAAGATGACAAATAAATGTGAGTTAGAACACTGTTGGATAATTCTCAGGTGATAACAAGTATATGATAACAAGTGCGAATCCCATTTTAAGGGAAAACTGGATTTCAAACGTTCTTCTGTATATATTCCCACACTCCCATTCTGTACCCTCAATAGTTGTAGTGCATATACGAACAAATACATTAAAATTAATAAGACACGTTATTTTCTTGTCCTTACATCCAATTTGTCGATGAAGATGGAATGGGTTGAGTACTCTCATTACCTTCATTACAGCTTTGAGGGGGATCGATAGGTGTCGTTGCGGTACATGAAGTAGCTTCCATTTCAGAAATCGCAATGTTCGAATTGGTACGATTTCCAACAGACAATTGTGGGACATTCAGTGTTTGTTTATTGTCACTTCTCCTCCCATACTCAGATATGTATTTAACCTTAGGTCTTATATGATTATTTACGTATGGTTTTGATTTTCTTAAACGAAGAAGTTTTAATACTTCTCGTTTAAATTTTGTGGCAGTTGCATAGTAGAAGATAACCTTTGTAGAGTGATAAGCATACACTATCAACAAGAGACAGGAGTGTGCAAGTGCATTTTTGTCAGATCTGAAAAAATTATGGTTTTGTGGAGTAAACGTCTTAGCATAAAGAAAATATATGGCGCATGGTAAGGCGAATATAACAAAGAGAAAGCCAATAACTAACAACATTCCAGTTAGTGTTGTTGTCCTGTTAGGTTTCAGTTTTGAGATAGCCATAAGCATAGTATCTTTACGTTGGTGACGAGAGCGGGAATATTTGAAAAACACAACAAGGCACGTGAAAAATACAACAAGACATGGAATTATATATGATATAAAAATATGTACCCATGGCCAATTGTCTCTATTGAGTGCTAAATAGGACGCTTGTCTAGTGGAATGTGAGGATTTGTTAAAAGCCTGAGTAGAGTTACATTGTGTCCATAGAGAATGGAGGTTAATTCCAGTGAAAGTAACAATAAAGCCACCAAGAGTTATGGCAGCATTTTGCATAGTGCATATACGAGTTGACTTGAGAGGCTTACAGACAATAATGGCTCGTTCAACCAATATGATCACCAATAACCACGATGACATTTGAGTAGAAAAACTGCTGCTGAAAATAAACAGCTTGCAAATCCATCTCCTCGTAGACGCGTAACTCCATCCATGCAGAGTCAACATCCAGACATGCATGACTTTGGTATATAGAACTAATATATCCATTATAGCTAACACTGTAAGATACAAGCCTGTACTTGTACTTTTCAGGGTAGAACTTTGGAATACGACGATGGAGAGAAAGTTCCCCAAGCTTCCAAAAACTATCAACGTTGGGGATGCATAGAACCATAAAAGTCTAACTGTCTCAAACGTTACATATTCCTCTATATTGTACCATTGTATATCTAACGGTACGACAGGGACCTGCTCTGTAGGTGAATTGGTATCGGACGGGACAGCCAATGTAGACAAATCAGTGGCTACTGATTTCCAATTGCTGTTACCGCCAAACTGAGAAACATCGCTAGTAAATGACGTGACATCATTTGTTGTTACAGTGACATTACTTAGAGTAAAATCGTTACTAGTTTGTAGCTCAGAGACATGTTGTATTGTTGGCTTGATATCAGCTGCCATATCACTCTACTTCTGGAATATAACAAACAAAATATTAGCACGTGTCGGCAGGAAAATCATAATGACTGCGAGCGATTTCATGAAGTGACAACTGGTTCCAATTCTCTATGTATCCGATATTTTGCCAATGAATAATGGAAATCATAAAATAATAGAATTAATATACTGTAATATAGGAATGAATGGAGCAATAGAAATTGAAAAAAGGTTAAAAAGCAAGGATTGTCAAATGGAATTTCATAAAAATGTAGAAGATTCATGAGAACATATTTTTCTAGAAAGCAAATTCAAAAATAAATATTGTTTGTTGTTGCTTTTCTACTTCACAAAAGAAAGCACATTAGAGAACGTTATAGAGGTAAAAAGTAATGGTTAGGTAAAGATGCAGGAGTGAATACATTTTTATGCACCATTTAAAAGTTTGCGTGAGAGCCCCCCCCCCCCCCCCGACGCGGGGAGGGTAAGGAATTTGATACACAATATTGCCCCCAGGGGTAGGAATTTGACGAATATTGTCGTCCCGGGGTGAGGAATTTGATTTACATGTGCCCGGGAATGGGGATTTTTGACTGAATCTGTTTCGTCCAGTATACACTTTAGGATTCTCGGGATTTGCAAATGATCGGTATATTAAGTCAAATTAAAGATTCCGTATATCGGGAACAGAAGAAAATAACTCATCTACACGTTGGGTATAGTTTCAGGGGTGGAATTGCCGAGAATAACCGCTGGAGAGAGGAATTCAAGAATAATTATTGGTTTGTCAAGCTTGTTTTAGCCCTCCCTTCGAAAAATGCACTTCCGCGTTCTACTTATATTTATAAGCTTGGTATAATTTAATTGATTTTATATAGATGATAAATTAAAAAGTAATTTTTGAAAATTTTTCGAACGTTCGAACAAATTTTAGTTTAATTAATTTGATATAAATGAATAAAACGGAGGGAGGTAACCTATTAAAGTAAAAAGCCAATATCTTATAATACGTCATAGCATAAACTAAGAGACCTTTCGAAAATTTGGGAAATTGACACATTTATTTGGCTCCGGGATAAGGCTTTAGACAGGCCAAATTCCCCATCCATGCCCGCGTGGGGGGGGGGGGGTCTCACGCAAACTTTTGAATGGTGCATTATTTTATTTGATGTCGTCATTTTAGACGTTAATGATTCTTGTAGGTAATAACATGGGCTCTACCAAATGGGTAGAGCCAGAGCCATTGGTGACCTTATTTAGTGACCTATACTCTGCAAAGGCTGTCATATACAGATCAGACAAACTAAAATAGGTAAAGCACTATCACAATGAATTGTCTCATTTTATTAGCTTTTTACTTCATCCAGTACTTCATAAGCGATTTGCAGTAATCCCCATTGTTTTCTTCTTTCATTCAAACACGTAGGTATCAACGCCAAAATTATTATTTGAGTAATTAAACTACTACCGAGTTGCACACTAGTTCCAGGATGCTTCGTTTTTGTACTCATCAATATGACATCCACGGTGTCCAACCCAAACGCTCTTACATGCATGACGGAGCGTTTCATTCACGCGGAAACGCTGTGGAGCGAAATAAAATGGCGGCTAATGAAGATCCAACTATGACCGTAAGTATTGTTTCACTTGTTTCTCTTACATATCATACGTTATTGTGACATATTATGTACCATTCGATGAACAATACCCTGAGCAAAGATCTTATTTATTCAACTTCTGGTGGTAAACTGTTATTTGCTTGATCAAAGCTCCGTAGTGTAGATCGAACGAATTGACCACAAATTACGAATTAAACTAGTATTTATATTTATTAGCTTATACGAGGCAGGTATATCAAAAACAAAAATGGATTTTGGTGATTTTGACATTGGAAATTACAAGTCGCTAGTAGATACCCCTAGGAACCCCGGTCAGCCTAGTTGCCTACATTAGAATAAAACATGTACAGCATTGCTTAGTTGCTAATACTCCCTGTACTTGAATCCTCATCATTGAAGGATTGGGAAGGTGAATGCTTTAAGGGATCGTTTTTATACAAACTTGCTCAAGGGCAAACCTGATTATTTGTTATTGTGATTAAATACTTGTTATGTCAATTTCAGTCTCATATGTTAGATGTCACTTGGAGTTATATTAATGTAATTGTACACCTCCCATACTAATAATAGCATATCTCGTCAACTATTAAAAGATAAATGTACACTAGTCTAATTGAAATCATGCTGTATGAATATTGAAATAATCAAAAACGATCATGTTGATTTTCTGTGTTAAAGGGTAAATCAGAAATTTAGAGTAATTTTCTAAACATTGTTTTAAGTTTAGAATCGTTTGAATTAATGTTCTAGTATCCTTCACGTATTTTGTTTCTTTGAATTCAAAATGTTATATTTCTGTTTGATTGATTGTTATCATCAATCATGGGATAATTATAGGATATCCTATGATTTTGAGGAATATCATTTTTATCTACGAGGTGATATTGATATCTGCACGAGAGAGCAAAGCGAACGAGTGCATATATCAATATCACCGAGTAGATTAAAATGATATTCTGAAAAAATCATATGATGTTCTTATTATCCTACACTTACAAGGAGTGTACTAAATGTATAATATCATTGCAAAATGAATTTCATGCCAAATAGTCAATTTGGCGGGAAATCAACAAGCGGAGTATATCGTCACGATATCCTCTGCCGCATACTGGTTTTCCGGAGTATGTCGTGGCGATATCCTCCGGTTATTCATTTTGCCAATAGATATCAAATTTATTTTTTAATGTTATTATCGAGAACAAATATCAACACTCATTCGCTTCGCTCACTCATGTTGATAGTTGATATTAACTCGTCCTTTAAAATGATATCAATCAAAATGATCTGGTATTCTGTATTTATTCAACTGGTATCAGGCCCGTAGCCAACTTTTGTCAAGGGTGTCCAGTTTAAAAAAGTCCAGAGTCACTCAGAAAGATTTAGAAAGAATTCCCCCCTCCTGGCTCATGGATACTAGTATATGCGTTCGATATCGACAACATGGAATTTATCACTCGGATGGAGCGCAAAAATTAACAAGAGTAGACGACGAATTTATGGAATTGGTGGCTCTTCATATTATTAATTGATGACACTGATGGCAGTCAATGTTTTGGTGTTGTTGAAGTTCATGGCGTCAGTCATGTTGGATCTGCTACAAGGTATGATGTTTTAATAGTGACTGAAAACCATCCTCCTAAGCAGGTGTCCAGAATCCGTACCTCCTTCTTCCCCCCTGCCATAATCAATTTGGATGCGCCCGATAAAACTGAATCACTTGGACAGCGAATCAAATTGCGAGTTCTTAATCGGGGAAATGCTAACTGCTTATCGCAGGGGGTAAAATGAAAGAAGTATTCTGGATTTTGAAGCCCTGTGATCGGAAGATGCTGAAAATCTAACTAAGCGAGTATGAGCGTCTGAAGTAAGAGAGTACAAATCCAATATCAATTCTTTCTCGTGATATCATTTTATCTCACATTCGTTTTACGTTATTATTTGACTTTAGTTATGAAACAGTATCTGGATGTTTGATGCAATGTTGCCAGCCTCTCGTGGCCTCATGATGTCTGAATCTTCAACGGTTGTCTTCGAGATGAATTTTCAACTTTATGAACTGATCCACTACCTATGGTTTATCGATAAAAGAACTTGCTATTACAATAATCTATTCATACAGCATAATTGTCTACATATCAGTATCAGTGGTAAATGGTAATACCCGTCCTGATCAAACAACATCCCTCAGCATGGCAATACATTGTCACCACGCTGTTATTAAGCGTGACGGTTACGTCAAGATTTCCTTTTAAACTAGTTCCATTCGGTGACGCATATATGGATGGTTATAAAGACTGAGTCAAATCTGCCAGGGTCTACAAGAAGCAGAATATAAGATGTAAACCTACGGGCTGAGATATGCAAGTTCATGAATTTTAGTTCATTCTCTAGGTTTCTAAGTATATGTGCCTCAGAGCCACTTAAAATATTAACTGTAAGTAAACTGTGTATAAGCAAGCCATAAAATGACAAATCCAGAACAGGAATGTGGTGTATATTGTAAATAATAAGGTTTCAATCGCAAGGTCGTTATACGACTGCGTATGAATTGTATGAAGAGAGGGTTTGCACAACGGGTTAGCTAAAACGTATCCGCATCCGTATCTCGTTACGTTTACGGATACGATAATTTTCGTTTCGCAGTACATTTTTTGAAGTACGTAATTATAAACGCATCTCAATCTGTGACTTAGACTAGTGAAAACTAGCTAGGGTCAAATAAAAGACTTCATCTGCAGTAAGTTTTCAAATTACACCATTGGTAGTGTCAGATTTCAGAATCACAACTCCATAAGTATTTTTGGTGAATGCAAAAATATATATTAAACCTTTCATCCCAAGGGGTCATTTATTAATTTCAATTTCAATTTCAAAATGAAGAATATCACTTAGATTATTTCTAGGTTTACGATAATCAATTCAGTGTCAAATTATTCTTTGGGGAATATTTAAGGGTTTGAAGCCAGAAAGGCTGAAATAGTGGTCATTGAGGGGAGGGCAGTTACCGCATTATGCAACAAAATTTTTTTTCGAGAATATTAAGAATGCAGCAAGTGCTTTTTGACATAACATGAAAGCATGCACGCTTGACGTAACATCATCCTATCCCTTTTGACCTCACTATCTTTTTAAGTATGCCCTTATAAGTATACTTATCAATGTTATAATTGGTTCCGAAGGAGCACATGCAATCTAAACAAATGGTATAAGTGATTCATCCTGTCATATCAAGCTTGAGTGAAATCCATCCAGCCGAATATTTGACCTCTATTGCAACACCTATGTACTCATATAGCATATTTTTATTTCACTCAAAAGTAGAATTCCATCTTAAGCATATGCATGATGTCTATTATGGAGTGAATCCAATAAATAGTTTCTTAGACATAACAAACCATATAGGCATTCGTAGCCTTG